AGAGTAAATGAAAATCAACAAGTTGAAAAGAATAAGTTGTTCGCATGTTAGAGATTAGACTTTAGATGTATGTACTGAAGTCAACAGTACACAGGCGTGCAGCCACGCAGCCACACAGCCACGCAGCCACACATATACAATTGCAATTAAATGAAGTTTAGAAAAATTTGCCAGAGCTAATCACTTTTCGGATTCATAATTAACTTGTTGCTCTAATAAGCAAAACAAGCGGCTTGTCTTGCGCTACAATCGGCCCAAATCAAAAACTCTTTATTCCACAGCCAATTTCCAATATGATTGCAATTTCGTCTATATCGTATCATATCAAAAACACACATGCATTCTACAAAATTATGAATATCTCGCTCGATTCAATCATATTCAGTCGCACTTTTTGTGCTCGATTCTTACAATAGATCAACGAAATTTTTCTCACACGCTTTTATTGACGTCTCTACACGGATTAGATCTGCAAAATGGATAATTTTTTTTTTTTTTTTTTTTTTTTTTTTTTTTTTTTTTTGCCATAAAAAGACGTAGGTTTCTAATTGAAAATTGTCATATTTCTTGCTGATTCATCAACTTCACAGCGTAGGGCTACGTATGGAATACTACATAGGGTAAATGAACTCCAAGACGTCGCTAGCAGACTGTTAAACGATTTTATTACAAAAATTCATATCTGCTTGACATTATTAGCCCGAATCGATTTAAAGGCAACTCTTCGCGACTACGCTGCACAACGTCTCTCGATGTATGCAATTCTTGATCAAGGTATGACATGGATATCCTTGAACTTTGTGTTGTAAGTATATTAAAAGATCACTTCAATCGATCTAGTCTTGTTAAATTTTTCCACAGTTGGCAACACTTTACTTCACAATTGATACAAAACTCAAACCTTACTGTATTTTGGGACACTCAAGTACAAGTATAATGTATCCGCCTTTCTTCAGCAATGCGCATAACGCAAGTTGTATCGCAATATACAAGATAAGTTTGCGCAACGACGTACCAACGAATTAACTTAATATCGAAAGAGAATTGCAAAAAGTCCATTCACATACAGGCATTTTTTTCCCGCCTGCCTTCATATGCCACTAGGATCTTATAACTTATCATATATATAGTGTAAAGGGCCTCGATAAAAGACAACGCTTACTTAACTAAGAGCCAATTGCAATTCAATCCTAAATTAGCGTTTCTGATAGGGAGCAAGGCAAAATGGCTTACCATTAAATGCCCTATTCGCCTTACGCCCATTTAACGACCTTTCAAGTAAGGCTTTGTACGCCAAGTGGTTTGAAAAAGCGATGCGATCTGAACCATTTCAAAAAGCGTTAGTCCTCGGGCCAAATAATATACGCAAAATTGCGACTTGTAAGTAGAACGCAAGAATACAAGACGGACAGACGACCAGACAATAAAATGATTTTAAATCGATTGGCATAGTATGAATTGAACCCCTCACCTCAACCGCTTTTGCGCATATATATGGGCGCAAACTTAATAAGTGAGGTAGGGTATAAAAAAGAGAAAAAAAGGTCACGATTCAGGTCAGGTAAATTAAAAGCTCAGTCTCAACGACTGATAGATGATCAAACAAATAGTTATATGGTAAATAATTACATTTTTAAAGCTATCTCTAATTTTTCACGTGCTTCAGGAGATGATAATATAATCTGATCGCTAATCTGCATGTATTCTCAATTAGCTTATTATATAGTGAGAATTCCATTTAGGCAACAAAGCAAACCCTTCAAGGGACGCAACAATGTCAATAATAAATTTTACATCTTAAATGTCTCAATAGAATAATGCCATGGAATTGATAGTTAATTTAAAAAGTAGTTGCGGTAAATCTACTTTTTACTTATTACATATACATATTTATTTTCGTATCAGATAGGCGGCCAGATTCATTACGATTACGCAAGCAATAGAAAGCTTACGTTTACGGAATAAATTATTTTTGCTGCGCTTTACATTTTGTACATATTGTATATGTTTAGTGAAAAATGCTTTTTTCTGTACTTTCCAAGTGCATTCGCTCATTTTGAAAAGCATTCATAATGCAAGCAAGTCAAATGATAGGTATCAAAGGATTCGGTCTAAGCCGTGCATGATTTCCTTGCTGCTGAATAACAAAAAAAAAAATCAAAACTGACCTATCCACCAGAATAAATATATATTTTATTGAAATAATTTCTCATTAATATGATTATTAAAAGAAGAATAAATAACGGCAAAGCTTTTTATATACATAAATGTGTATATGAATGAGGAAAACAACTAAAAAACAATAAAAAAATTATATTTCATTCTCATTTCAAAACTGATCTCATATAATATCCAACATCCCATTGTTACGTCCACTATATATAGATCGAAATATACGAAATTAATTATACCGCCGCCAGTCACGCTCTGAAATGCTTAACAAAGATATTCCTCATAAAAGAAATGTTAAATGATAATCGCGTTTTCAGTGTTCCCAGCGGGAAAGAATTGCGCGGATCGTTGCATTTATCTCATTCATGTTTCACTGCTTTCTCTCTCATCAATAGAGGAAGAGAGTATAGTTAATTATCGATTAATTAATTTTGAACGGTGGATTTTAAAACTTAGCTCTAATACGAACCGACACACCATACGCCCCACGCGCACACACAATCAGATATATAAAATTTCCCAATTGCGGTTCCTTGAGTTTTAACACTTTATCCCTTATTCTCGAATGAATACGATATCGTACATATTGACGAAAGGAAAGGAAAGCTTCATTTTCGTATCGAGAAAATTCGAAAGAATAAAACCGTGTGATTCCTAACTTGCGTATACACTTTTAAACAGAGGCGGGCAACTCTTCTCATCAACGTGCCAAAATTTCAATTTTCATATTACGGCGGGGCTCGGAACAGATTGAATGGATTAGCAAATTGTTAAGTCAAGTTCTTCAAAAACTAATATACTTTCGTTACAGACCAAGCAGGCGGCTTCTTCTTCAATATTTGTAAACAAATATTTCAAGGCCCAATTATCATTACATCAGTTTTTCTTCTTTTTAAATGGCTCATTTTATAGTCAATAAACAAAAAAAAAAAAAAAAAAAAAGAACGCATAAATACATTTGAAATTTTCATGGCTGAGATGCTTTGAAAAGCAGAGTAAATGGTAAACGGGCCAACGATTGCCCACGCCTGCTTTCGGATAAGGGGGGCAATATTCGTTCATCCGACTGTAGCAAAAAGTCCTCAAAGGAGATCGCAAAGCATAGAAAAATTGAAAGCCGAGCCCCATTAATGATTATTGGCGGCAGATCAAGTTCTCAAATCATCGCGTTCCGCTTGCAAGCTCATTCATAATAGCTAAAGAATGAAATAAAAAATTAAAAATGTATTTTATAATAAGAATTCTTATCAATGCATTTTGAAGATGTCCCATGTCTAGGCTTTACACCACAATGTAGATTATACTCTATTAAATCGCTAACTGCCCACTTTTGTTGGATTGTAAATATAGCGAGTGATAAAACTGAGCAAAAATCATGTCGTTCCGTGTCATGCGATCTGTAAACATTACCAGCGCTAAGCTGAAATGTCCTTTCAAATAAAATGCATTTAAAACCCATTTTGAATAGAACGAATAGAGCTTCTTAAAATTCATTAATTCATTTACGATACGTATGTATTCATATAAAGTAAAACGATGACATACCAGATGAAAGAATATTCGATTGATTGCACATTTCAAAAAAAAAAAGAAAAAAAAAAAGTTTGTCTCAATACAAGCATTAGAGTTGATTTCGTTCGAACAAATAAATGAATTCAAGCTTAGTAATCAAATATATTAACGGCAACTATAATCAGATGTTACCAAAAATTTCTCTAACAAATTGATTTTATCATATTTCCAAAGCTTCTTAAATGATTCTCTATTTAGCATTTATCTATGACCTGTGGTGAATAAAAAGCCCGATTCTTTCAACAAACCGAATAAAATTTTGTAAAACATAACTTGTGCATGTACGTTTGTGCAGAAGGGGTTTAGATATTCATATAATCAAAACAAATGCAAAGAATTACAACAAAAAGCAAAGGAAACACATACCAACTAACAATCATTATATTAACCCAAATACCCTCTTGTTTACATTCTTTTCATTCTCATGTACATATATATATATATATGTATATATAAATATATTTATATTTATAATTATATATATTCGTGAGTAGAGCGTCTACAAACTAGTAAATAAAAGAGTTGGTGATAATAGCAAAATAAAAAGAAAATAATTTGAAAAAAGAGGAGTAAAAATAATGTAAATCCAACAAAAAAAAAAAAAAAAAAAAAACTAAAAAGAAGAAAAGACCTTACCCAAGAGAGTTTAACTGAGAGTTAAAGAGAATCGCACTGTATTTCACCACACATAAGTACACAAACCCCATCAATAATTTAATATGTCACGATGCGAGAGAATCAATAATAACAATGGTGAGTAATATTGTAGATCTCTACGTATGCGTTTACATGCATGTACATGGCTGTTTAGTTTAGTATGCGAAATTGTTGTTACCTCTACATGCTCATTCAAAATAAACCGGCTTTAAATACACCTCAACATGGATAATTTACGGTATTTGCCTTGTGAATCTCTTAACGAGTGGAACTAGAAAAATTTTTAATAAAACGAACAATTTCACAGTGAGTTTATAGTAAAACACGTAAAAAAGCAAAGAAAAAAAAAAAAAAGAAAAACTTAAAAATATTTAAACAAGTAACTAAGCATAACATATTGCCATCCAGCGGCCAGAGTGTATTTAGAGACGGGAAATAAATTTGCAAATTTTAAATTAGAGAAGTAAACGAAGAAGAAGTAAAAAGCATAGAAAATTCAATACAATGAAAAGCGTGTTACACGCAAATTTTAAATTAAAAATAAAATAAAGAAAATTCACATAAAGACAATAGAAAGATTAAAATAAATAAAATAGTGAAAGCAAATATTTCTTCTTTTTTTGTTTTGTTTTTTTTTTTTTTTTGAGAAAATTTTGTAATAAAAACTGAAAAAATGACTTACTTGCAAGATAATATAATTTGAATACATTCCAATTGTTTGATCAAATTCCGAGCCAAGCGTAAGTAAATCCACGCATATACATCTTCAATTTGATCGAATACTGCGTGAGCAAAGGAAGAAAAAAAAAAAGTATAAGGAATAGAAAACTTTCTGCAGCGAAACTATTGGGCAATTTTTGGTAAAAACGGCTCTCACGACTAATATGAATCGTTCTCAGACTTTTGTAAACTCTTTGAAATGGTGGCCTACACAGAGTCACAACAATAACCAAAGCAATACGAATGGTAGCGCAAGCGCTGGCGATGGCGGTGGCGGTGGTGGCGGTGGTGGTGGTGGGGGACACGGTTTTAAAGGTTTTATAACTTTTCATAAAACGCAAACAACATTCGGTAGTTCGGTGGCTGTGCAAAAATTACGAGAATCCAAATGGTTTAAACGCGATGAACAGCGCATTTTTTGTGCTGTGGTTGAGTGCGGCTTTATTGTTGAAGTGCGCAATATTGCTGCCATTGCCAAAAGATTAGCTCAACAACAGCAGCGAAGACAACGTCTTCAAAGCTTAACTAATAAAAGATATCATCAACAGAAAAATAATAGTTGCAGTAGCAACAGCTCAAGCAGCAACTGTGGAGAAGACGAACCAGATAATTTCTTAAAAGACGGAGCACATTTACTTGTCGATAACAATAGCGATCTAGATGATGAGGATGAATTGGAGTCACAAAATGAGAATGAAACACCAATTACATCATGGTTTGGTATCGTCCTTTGCAAAACTGCCAAAGGTAAGCAAATCAACGAAAGTATGCAAAAGTAAATACGCCTTAGAACAAACCCCACGATATATGGTGAATAATAGTAACGAAAATAGTAAGGAATTAACGTATGCGTTCGAGTCTCTAAAGCCTTAATACTTCCAAGATTATTTAATATAATAACTCGAGAAGCTTTCTGCTATCTGGTGGATTTTAAGACTCATATTTTCAACACCTTATTCCAGTGTCTCTCTTCAGTAGAAACATACTCGTATTTATGTTCAATCTTTAAAGTTTCGCCAGGAACGTATGTCTGAACTTCTTCGTCTTTCTGTTTCAATTTTTATAACCTTAAGGCAACCGTCAAAATGGGAACAAATAAAAACATCTAAATTGATTCAGTACCTCTCTGCTGATAAAGAAAATATGATCGAGTTTATGTTACCCGTTTCTAAACAATTCAAACAAAATGACGAAAATGACGCTTTCCTGTTGCAAGCCATTTGAAGTTTTATACGTTCGAATTTTGTTTCATTATGAAAATAAGAAAGAAAATAGGATCTTAATTAGCTCTACTAGAAGATATTAAAAGCGGCAATAATCGATCAGTAAGCCTTGCAGATAGATTAGTTCTAAGTATTCCTTTTTAAATGCTTTTGCTAAGTTTACAAAAGTTCATTCATTTCAAATGGATGCATTAATTAAGACCAGATAGATATTTATAGCTACTATTTATAAAGTATATATATATAGTATAATTTCCCCACTTATTCTTGGCGCAATTTCGTAGATCAAGTTTGAAAATAAAGGTAAAGTCCAACTAACAGATAAGAAAGAAAAGACTAGACAAATATAAAGAAGAAAATTTGAAATTTTCAAGTAAGACTCAGAATGCGAAGACTAATAGCAAACATTTACTTGCAATTCGTCACAAAGTTTATTTATGCAATATAAAAATGAATTGCAACAACCCTACCTATTGACTAATCTACTAAAACGCTTTAAACGTGCTTAATGTTAGTTATGGTTTAAGATATTTAATCTTTGTGACGATAAAAATTTCTACCGTCGTTTCGCATTCACTCAATTCATTGTAACAGCCAATAATTATCAATATTAAACGAATATCCTTTCTATTATTAGACGTAAAAGTTTGAGGAGTATAGGATAACCAAAAATCCCCTTTAAAGGAATGTATTATATTGTATTGTCCTCTTGTTCAAAATTTGTAATAAAATTTACTATTATTTGCAGACCTTTATAAAATGTACATATGTAAGTAACATACATGCATAGAAAAAGCAATCTTTAACATATTCATTCGTCACAGGGACAGAAGCGTATGTTAAATTCATTTATATTCTCTTACATTGCATATAATTTAATACCTAATTATTATCTCAAGTACGTGCATAAACTTGCAATTTTGAAAGAAAAAAATAAAAAATTTAAGAATTAATGCGCGTAAATATGTAAATACGAGATGTGAGCAATTATAAAAATTTCGAACATATTAAATAGGAATTGTTATAGAATTTTTTTACACACTGCACCTTACTTACTAAGTTAAGAGTTTCACATAAGTAAAATAAAATGCGCACGTTCAGCAAGTTGCATTGTGAGTGAGTGGTAAGTTAAATGTATACGTAAAAGAGAGTATAGTCAGTCAAGTCACCGTTATCGTATTATTTACCATTGAGTAACGATACAATATTTTCATTAATATTGTCGGTGTATGACAATACTCTTTTTCTTTTTTTTTTTCTTTACACTAAATCTAACGAAAAGGTACTTTTTCTCTTCATAAATTTGATCTTATATTAACTAAAATGTTAGACATTTTTAAATTTGTTTTTTTTAATTCGCATGATCCCGGGACGAGGAGGAATTTTCTTTTTAGTCGGTTTGCTTCATAATATGAAACACAATAATGTGCGTAATAAAATTGACACATAAATTGTCAATTTATTAGATTAGATAGCTGCGCATTTATATGACGATGTATGTAGTCATGCATATAAGATATTATAAATTTCATCACCTGTTGTAAGTAAAGTATTGGCGACACCCTTCAAAGTACTTTGATGTACGTATTAAATATGAATATAAAACTTTTTATGGGAACATATATATATATATATATATACATATTAATCGCAGTTGCAAATAACTAGTTTAAAACCACGATGGTTACAATATTATTAAGTGTTAAGATTATTAAGTAAAATCAATAGAAAATGTGAGATAAGGTATACACTTGCAACGAAATTACTATATAAATGCTATGCATTAATATCTCAATCATCGATATATATATACAAAAAAAGTTTACCACTTTCTACTTTAAACATCTGAAGATTTGGCGTTATTCCGAATACTTTATTCGATGCATATGCATTTCCAATATTTTGGAAGTATACAAATGACAAAATGCGCACGTTTATGAAAACTATTTATTACCGCATTCTAAGGATCTCAGGATCAGAGGTTTAAATAGAACAGTTTAAACAATTGTTGTCTTGAAAATTTTAAAAGTAATTTTTAAATTAGATAGGATTGCAATGTATACACAATTGGCAATAATATGCATTCAAGGGTTAAATTTCGACAACTTAAAATGCACACATATATAGTATTAAATTTCTAAATGCGCCATATTTTTTGGCCTAAATAATATTAAATGATTTGTACTAATTATGGGTTTCGATCATAAATGAGTGGATGAACGAACAATCGATAATACGTATCAGCAAACACTATAGTTTAGTTTGATATTACGGTAAAAAAAAGTATTAAAAAACATAAAACGAGTTAATATAATGATAGGAACTAAAAATGCAAGACGTATTAATACAATAATAACGACTAAATCATTTTCAACAATGAAAAATTGAATTGTAATTTTAAGCATTTGGTTGTGAAAACACAAAAAAATAAATAGAAAATGTTCCGAGAATATACAAAATTTCTTAGACCTAATTTCAGTATGGAATGGCAATGTTTCCTATTAGTACGGTTTCAATTGTTTTTGTAACGAACTCAATACTGCCGAACACGCTTATCAAACGTACGCATATTTTTCCTAACGCGTAAAACACAAAGGGTTTGTTGTCCAACAGTTTATATTTGTGTTTTCTAAACTTCCAACAAGGATACCTGAATTTGAATTAAACAACTTCTGATTTTCATTAAATTACCACAGTTCTAACTTCCAGTTGACGATCAAAGCTAGAAACTATGTACTTTATGAAAGATTATTGAGTAATAAGAGTGATTAATCTAAGTCTTTCTTAAATATTGTCACATTTTAAAGGAAACACCTCGACTTGTGTCTTTTTTCAAGTTTGTCGTCTTTAACAGAAATTAGCATAAATTTATTTTTCTAAATAAAACAAAAATATTTTCAAGAGCGTACAATACGATAATAATTTTATATGATAGCAGTGCAAATTGTTTTAATGTTTACATTGCATCAGCTGTTCGTTTTTTACATATAAAGAAATACAACCCTGATCGAATTGAAGTGAACGATTTTACGAAAAACTTAAATACATATCAATGCATGACTTTTCATTGGAATTTTCATTCAAATTACGTCATTTATGTTTAAGGGGTTAAATTCCATCTAAAAAACCTAAATATGTTTACAATTGAAATATTAAAAAAAGGAAAGAAAATTATATTCAACAGCACGTTATGTGCTGTGTATTGTTAATTATGATCATCGTGGCCACTTCTACGCTAATTTCTTCGGGTTGTGTCGAAAAGAAAAGGTGTAGACTTTTATTTACTACCCATTATAATCGGCTATTTTGTATTAATTGCAGAACCCTTTTGTGAACGCTACATGACAACCTTTTTGCACTTAACTGAAGGTATATAAGCTAAGTGTGAGCTTTTTAACGGATTTTTATTATATACTTAGGTACAGTTATGTATTATGCCTTCCCTAATGCGCATGTCTAACTGTTACAAACGAGCGCAAGCGTCTGCTAAACCCCCCTTATTACAACAGGAAAAACAAAGTAAAAAGAAATTTGTATTCACTTTGTAATGAATCTTGAATATCGGTCTTGAACGAATTATTTTAATCTTCAAGTTTTAAATTTCTAAATATATTCCCAAAAATAAATAAAACGAACGACAATATTTCAAAGCTTATGCAAAATTATACACAACTCTCGGTGTACTTAATAATTTAAGCATAATAAAAAAAGGACCTCAAATTAAAATTAAACCAAGAAGGAAAGAAGGCGTATAAATGAGAAACCCGTACGTTAGCTGATTCCCTGCATGCATAGATATAAAAATATGTAATCGTTTGATCTTTAAAGCTAAGGTCAAGGCGTATTCGGTACATGTTTGCGGTATAATCGCACATGGCATTCGCATCGTATGAACCAACTCATAGGAAACGGAAAACTATTAAATTTGATAATCTTGAAACATCCGGTAATAACATACAGTAACTGTCATTAAAGTATGAAATTGCCATACATAACATCGAAGTTTTAAAAATGATTAATAAATCAATGATATCGCTCGGAGATAAGGTTATAAGTTAACGTGTTACGTTTCATTTTCTTAAAAGAATATATGACTGTTGAAATCAAATAATGAGGAAGTTTTAGTACTTCATTATCTTGCTCTGAGTTTATTGCAGTTCACGTATAAGAAAGTTTTTTTTTTTTTATATAGAAATTGCTATCATTTTATGAAATATAAGTGATAGACTTGAAATCATGCTTTTACAAAATAACACTTTTCGATGGCATTGACTTCTTAATGATTTGTATTAATGCTGATGTTTAATGGTCTGCTGAATGAAATATAGACAATTTTTTATGCTCATTAAACACAATGACATTCAATATTTTTGAAGTTCAATGTTGTACATACACACGAATACGAGTGAATGTATGTAATATGGTAAAAAAAAAAAAAAAATAATTAAAATTTATATTAATTGCCATCATAAATTTACAAACAAGCGCGTAGGTAAAACGATGCTTATACGTTATTTGGAGCAATTATCATCTTTCATATTTATAGATTAAACTGATTCGATAGGACTATCAAGATTAATATTGAACATCATATTATATTGTGTTATATGAAAAGAAAATTCTTTATTTTTTAATTTTTATAAGTAAATTGAACTTGTTTTTCTCGCCTTGATACGATATGCATTTATTTCACTTTCAAAATATAGCGATTTCATTATAACATATGCTATTAATTATTAATTGCAGATAATAAACCAAAACCGGAAACAATTGAAGTATTTTCTGTGAAAATTCGAGAAAACGGTACTTTTAGAATGCTGAAAATGTCGTTGGATGACATCTGGAATAATGGCTGGGAATTGCGTATAAATAATTTTGCTGATAAAGAGAAACCGCCACACAATGAAAAAGATATAAGAAATCAGGTACGTACGAGTTCCAAAGCAAAAGAAAACTACAATCGCCTTAGAGTAGTAATTCTTCAATATCCATTGTATTACTGTGAAAAATATGATAGCAATATAACTGGACATGTCCACGGACGCATTAGAAGCTTCACTGTTAAATAAAACATTTAAGGTCTGCCAACTTTATGTAGACTAGCAGCTCTTTGCGGTCATTGTAATATTACAGCAAAGGAACAATTGTATGTTGCGTGAATAAGATAGAAATTTAGAAAGCAAGAAAAATTTTGATTGACGAGGGTATTAAAAACATCCTGAATTCATCTGTTATGACCCATTATCTAATTGTATTCATATTGTAAGATCACACAGACTGAAGAACTCAAATCAAGCAATCATTCCACAACAAATAATCTTAGTATATGCTTTCTGGGGGAAATAGCAAAAAGTGACTATTATTATTACAAGTTCGTTTTCGAAGAAGCTGTCCATTTCTGATTATATGAGTCTCCTCATAAGCGAAATGACGCATTTGATTAGACCAGAAACAATAAAAACACTTACATACAATGCAATTGTGTCTACAAGTAGTAACAACTTAGAATGGCGAGTTCGATCGTGTTTCCTTATTTTGGATAAGCTAGTCGTACTTGTCCATGACAATCTCGCTACGACATGCCGTCGACGAATAAAAAGGAAGAATTAGGTGCATTGAAAATAATAACGCGATATGCGAAATAGCTTGGAGCGAAAAGAAATTATTGAAAACAAAGTAGAGGCGAGGAACAGTTTTACTGAAATACATATAGTTATGAGTTAGTTTTATTTACGAATCAGTTCCTTAACCATCCTCGCAACTGATTGCAAATCCTAATCAATGCTAAACTTGTCAAAAAAGGCTGTAATAATTTTCTCATCATTTTTCAAATAAATTGAAAAATCTCACTTTTTGGCGGTAGTTTTTAGAAAAAAAAAAAAAAAAAAAAAAAAGGAAAAAAACATTTTGAAAATTTATATAAATTTATCTTTTGCTTTCTAGATATCTTTTGCACGTAAAGCTAAGCACAGTTTATGGAATAATAATAAACATTTCGTTTATTGGTGTCGTTATGGTAGTCGCCAACAAGATGTTAGAAAACGTCAGGTAAACAGGTGGAGAACTTTAAACATATATTCTCCTTTTTTGAACTATTAATTATTATAAGAAATTCTTGCAGATGTCGGAGTGTGTTAAGTGGGGCAGTGTTGGTATGAATGCCGGTATTATTTTGCTAATGAACAAGCAAAAATCCTATTCCACTTCCAAGTAATTGTAATCTATTTGTGTGCTTTAACACAAATGACTTTCTATACATATATATATAAAATAATTTAAAAAAATTAAAATCGTATTAAATATATATAGCTTTTCTCTTTTCACTTTTTTTTTTTTTTAACATAAAGTCCACCTCAAGATAAGATAATATTTCTACGTAACTCTGCATATTGATTGTTATGCAAAATGTATAAAGTTTAGTTAATCAAATCAATTAGAAAAATATTGAATAAAATTCTAATCAAAAATTGAAAAAAATGCAATTAATTTGCTTAAAATTGAAGAAAAAATATCATCCGAAAGCATATTGAAGAAATTGTTAAATTAATGTGAACGAGACTTGCGCTTTTATGTACACATTTAACTTTGGTTTACGTCAGATAGAAGACTTATTTATTTCATAAACTTTTTTAATTAACTCAAGCTTTTCATTTCACAAAAAATATTTTCGTTTTATATTTAAAGTGAAGATGCTAATTAACTAAACACACACAGGAATATCTTTAGTTTATAAATGTGATTATTATAGAGATTTAAGTTTTTAGTTATGTAAAATTCTCTAATTACCTACAAAGATATATTTGTAAATTAGGTTAGTGTTTAGAATATATATTGCGCGTTTTTTTTTTTTTTTTTTTTTTTTTTTTCTTTTTTCTTTTTATACATTTTTAATTCAATAAATAATTGTTTGGCTTAGTCCAAAATCTATATTTTGCTTTGTCTTAATTATTGCTTTTCGAGATTTGCGCTATAGAGCTACTAAGAGGATATAATCGATAATAAACATGAAACTTACCTCACGCAGCAAACCAAACAAAACATCTGTAGACAAAGAACGTTCGTGAGCTTCATCCATGATAATAGCCGAATAGCCGTCTAAATCGGGATCACGTAGGCTTTCTCGCAATAAAATGCCATCAGTCATATACTTTATGACTGTCTTCTCTGATGTACAATCCTCAAAACGTATGGCATAACCAACTTCCTCACCCAATCTTGTACCCATTTCATCAGACACCCGTTTTGCTACTGACATAGCTGCAACGCGTCTTGGTTGCGTACAACCTATCATTCCGAAATTACTGTACTTATCCTCGTGTAAATACTGGGTAAGTTGCGTGGTCTTACCGCTACCGGTCTCACCCACAATAATAATAACTGAATTCTCCCGTATAATATTGAGCAATTCTTGGCGGGCGGCAAATACCGGCAAATAACGTCTCTGTTCGGCAATAGATTTCTTACGCGAAAATTCACTTTTTCCTACGCTCGAATCTTGATTGCGCATATGGTCAGCAAATTTCTGATCACGTCGATAATCGGTCGTATCTGTCTCTTTATCAAATTTCGAATCCTCTTCATCTGCTTTCTTTTCAATTCCCATTATGTTCCCTAATTTAGTGCCACTTAGTTCCCAATGTTTCTTTTGTGCTTTACGGCGCTCCTTTTGTTCACGATAGACACGCACCAATGGACTACCTTTGCGTGCAATTAAAGCCATATCTGAAGTTTTATCCTTAACCGGTATCACGGGCTCCGGCTGTTTTGTAAAGACAATGCGTCCATCTAAAAATGGTGGTATAATATGATGCACCAGTAAATGGACACGTTCTAAGGCTTCTTCATCAAAATCGTCGTTGACATTGATTGACATGACCACGCCAGATGTAAGCATACGATTTCGTTCCCAAAGTTCATTATCTTTGTTATTTTGACGCTGCTGAGCACTAATTCGCTTCGTACGCTTTTGTTCCAGCAGTTCTTCACGTTTTCTAAAGTATTCGGCATTAGCTCCTGAAAACGGATTATTTTCATCATCGTAACCTTCGTCAATATTATACCATTCCCGATCGAGTCTACGTTGTTCTTCCTCCCATAACCCACGGTCCTCTTCGCTTTCGCCCCAAGGCTGCCGTTGGCTACGGCCCGTTGCTGGTGTAGCTCCAGAGCGCTTTCGATCATTGGCCCAAGCGTTATATTTATGAGCTGGTGTGGGTCGAGGTGTGTCGTCTTCATGATAACGTTCCCGTCTCGACCGACTATGACTAGAGGTGTCTGAACCGACGCCGCTACTGCTTGCGCCGCTGCGAACCGACCAATCACCTTTTTCTGAATTTGAAAACGTTTTCGGTGTGGGAAAATCCCAAGACGAATTTCTTATAGGCCTCTCACCAGACTCATCATCATCCCAAGCGCTCCCTGCTACAGATATTAACGCCGGAGTGCGTGGCTCGTCTTTAAATCGAGGTGTTCGAAAAATCGATGTCGAACTTCTATCACGGTCGCTGTAGTCTTTGCGATCTTTACGATTGCGATCACGATCACTATTCGAATTCGATTTACTACGCTCGCGATCCCGACGCCGCTCACGTTCACGACGGCGTTCGCGATCTTTCTCTTTACCACGATCTTTATCGCGATGACGCGTGAATGAACTCGATGGTTTGCTACGTTCACGATCTCTATCAAGATTTTTAGCATAATCTTTTGTCGAGTAGTGTACACCCTTGCTACGATCCCGTTTTAAATGTTCCCTCAGCCTTTCTCTCGCTTTCTCAGAAACACCACCTGTATGCGAAGGTGTTTCATCTTTATGAATTCGTAACTGACGGCTAATTTTTTGAAAACTCTGTGTATCTGGCTTTTTAAAAGCGAACTCACTCGCTCTCGCTGTTGTTAAAGCATTATCCTTTGCGACGTTATCACCGTCAATACCTTCATCACCTTCACCGGCTTTAAAAGAAATTAAACGTTGACTGTCTTCACGTTCTTTGCGTTTTTGGGCTGCCAACTTATCTAAACCCAATATTGAGGGTTTCGGTATTTTAAATTTATTATTATCGTCCGAACTGCTTGTTTTCTTTAAAATCAAGCCACCATGCATTTCTTTACCAATTGTACCTTCTAAAAGATGTATACTCGTATCTTCACTATCACCCATTTTAAGTTTTTATGTGCATTAATTTTTGGCGTAAATATTCAGAAAATTATCATCATTTTTAATGCGTAAACACTATTCTATTAATATTTTATTTTATTAAGATTTGCAACAATATCACCGCCAAAAACCTGAACGATTAATCAGCTGATTTTAATCTACTATGTTGCCGCATTCTTTCTAACAGAGTCGTTAAAAACGTAAAAGCGTATCGCAATGCAGTGCAAACAGTAATAAACGTGATATTTTAAAGCTTCAGTGCAAATTGGCTTAAGTGTAATGTGCGTGTCGGTATTTAATCTTATACAAGGTTTTTTTGTTTTTACCGCTTGAGTTTTTATCGTGATTAGGGAAATCAGATAACTTATCATCATTATTAAGATACTTATCATATGTTGGCTTTAATTGTCGTTACAAAAAGAAGAGGCAGGAATTGTTCTCCACTGGATAAGCAATCAGTTGTAAAATTGAACGCAATGTAACTCAGAAACTTTTGACAATCGTTAACGTAGCAGAAGTACCAACGTTACATTAACAGCAGTTCGGCTTTTTTTTATTCTTGTTGTTTGAATGGGAATAAATTGTGGGTTCACGTTTAGAATGAAAAAATTTATTTGCTATCAGAGAACCCAATTCCAAAAATTAAATAAAAAGTGATTGAATTGTGAGATTTGTGATATTGTGCAAAGCAAGAGAAAATTTTGAAAATTTGTAGGAAAGAGCAAACTTTCCTAATAATTTTATATTGTAGGTACATATGCACTTGATTTTCTTTTAATACGAAATTCAATTTAACTGTGTTGAATTGGTTTTTTTTGATATTTCTATCAATTTTTCGATTTTCATTCCTTAGAAATATGCATTGTAACTTCACGTTGTTTTCATATGCACGCAAATCAGTTGGATTATGTCGATTGTATTGCGTATATGAGTGGGATTCCCCGAATTATGCCTAGGGTAGAAATTTTATCCATTTTTTATGCAATTTAGTTTGGTCTTTCAAACTATAAGTTATCTTTAATAACATATTCAATGACTTAACATGTGTAACCATGAAATAAATTCTTAGGTAAATTCTAGTAAGAATTTTTGAATAGAAAGAAAAGGATTAAAAAAGCATGTACACAGCTAGCAAAGAAGCACACCCACAACAAGAATAAATCGAGATTGCCATTGTAAATATGCATTAGCTTGGCAATCGACAACATTAACAGCACATTTAATTTTCGAAATAAAAAAATGAGAATTTAAGAATGCAACTTAGTTTAAGTATTAAGCAAAGTTGTTTTAGTAGACTTTAAAGAATCCGATATTTAGAACAAGTGATGGGCATCGTTTAGATTCTTGCAAACAAGTTTGAGCGGGCTAAGCAGCTGATAATTGTGTTTACATTGACTAAGCTTGACAAAGACAGATTGCCTAGAGAAACGGTTAGGGCCATTAAAGCTTATGTCACCAAGTAATGCGGGGGAGTCAATAGTACCATTTATTACTTTGATTAAGAAGCAAAAACCTAAAATAAATCCACGTTTTTCAAGTGTTGGTAAGGGTAACAGAAGCAAACTATTTTCATAGGGGAGAAGAGAGGCAATCGAGTCCCAACCAAAATTCCTTAGGGAAAACAGCAAGACTTGCCTTTAAACAGATTCAATTGAATCTACATAGCATCTATAGGAAGGAGAGCACATAACAGAGGCATACTCGAATATTGGTCTAACCAAGCACATGTACAGCCTTGTAGGGATCATCAAGCTCTTTGGACCACCTCTTTATAATCCACGTACATATACACATGTATTTGAATATGATACAAAATTATGCAAGCAAACGGGAAGAGCAATTAATTGCGTAGAACACGTTTGACCTTATTTTAGAGGACTTTGGATGCTGTATCTCAAAAGGCGTTTGTAGAAAAGTGTATAGTGGAGGTAAGTTGGGGGATTTATTGAGGTCAAAGTATTTACTTTTTATGTTACATTTGATCTAATCTTTCGGCAGTCAATGAGATACTAACACCTGTAGCTGTAGCTCTATAAGTGGACGTAGGTTCATCCTGGCCACAGTAACTTTTTAAATCCATATTTCAAAAGCAAACAGTTGTAATCAGATATAATATTTAACGTATATCATTTATTTAACAGTCACTGAAAACTTTTCAAGTTTTTGCTCTCAAACATTTTTATAGATATGATAATATCATAATCAAAATAGTTGGATAATTACCAAATTTGAACTAACAAGTCATTTATTTTTTTAATTTAAAAATTTTTGCCCTCTTCTTCTTTAATAATTCAATTTTACATTTTGGCACTACAAATATTATATTTTATATATGATTATCATAAGGGATTATCATGATGGTTAGTACAATTCGTCGTCGCTTGTTTGAGTGCAGAGCACTTGTTCATGCCACCAATCATGAACTTCGTAAACAGCGTTCGCCTGATTATTGAAAGGCAACAATTTACTTCCAGGTATTATATGAGGCATCAGTCCGGAAGGACTGCCCAAATTTGTCATGTGACCATCGAAATGATTATTTCCCATTACCGGATAATGAAATTGACCGATTTCACTATTGAATTGCATAAAGAAACTATTCTTATTTGCGTCTAAACGCTTAAGTGATGGCCCATTCGATGATGCCACCGTTGGCAACGTAGTAGCAGTGATCGAATTTTTCTTTTTTTGTTGGCTACTAATATGCAATCGTTCTTTATCGGTTAGCGTTGAACGTTGAGGATCGGATGTGGTGGGTGCCAAATATTTTCGTCCTGTCGTGCTACCCGTTGAATCGGACCGATTTAAAGCGTAACTGCGCTTCGCAGCTGTTAAGGCAGCCGGAGCCGCTGGACGTTGAGGTACTACTGTAGGCGCCGTAGTTATATCGGTTGTACTAATCAGCACGGCCATTGTAGCACTTAAACTACCATCTTTCTCTTCATTCTCCGTCGAACTGAAAGTTGGTGAAAAGGCATCACTTGTGGGCGGACAAGTAGTGGGAACGCTACCACTTATAGTAGCTATTGCTGACTTATCGCTGGGCACTGTTGGTGTTTTATCTTCTTGAGCGCGTAAAAGTGGTTCATTTGTCGCCCGCAATCCGGCGATTAACGAATTTTGCTGCTTCTAATATAGAAAATTTAAGTAAATAATAAATTATTTCGATAATGGTATAAATTAAAAATATGCTTACATAGGCATTTTGAGCTCGGATTTTTTTTAGGCAACCTTCCAACCAGTTACGTATAGTCATTTTGGCCACTTCTTCTTCGACCAGATACTCAAACTCTTCGCGCGCCAACAACTCTTCCAATTGTAGAGCTTTACGTATATCCACCGAACGATAAGAAAGCATACTATGGCGCAAAAAGCAAAAAAAAAAAAACGTATTTATTATAATTACAATAATAAGAAACATGAAACATATGTTAATATGTACTTGATCACATCGTGAAATGTAACATCTTCACCGTTATGCAATTTATCCAATTCGTAGCACATATATTTGAAAAGCAAGCGATCTTTTTGCGGATCGCATTCTAAGCGACCTTTCAATAGACGTAGGATAAATTTTACTCTCCTAACTGGTATGACACCGCGCTGATGTATATCCACAATATTCCAGGTGTTTTGAAAATTACGTATATCCGCATAAGAAAGCAAGGCGTCCTCCTCATTCGAGTAAAATAGGGAAAAGTTCTCCATGATAATGGCTTTGAAGAGATAAACGCATATTGAAATGTTTATGAATTTCATGTTGTTCACAATAATGCTATACTAACCGACTAACAAATTCAATACAATATACGTGATAATGACATAAAATGTACAAAAGTAGATTAGACTCGCAGTAAAGTTTCCTGAAATATGATTTTGAAAAAGAATGAGATTTTCTAGTGCAGATATGACGAAACAGGCCGTACCACAATCCGTTTCCCAGTAATTGTTGCCGGGTGTGCAATAGGGCGGTTGGACCATACAATCGTGCATTATTTTATTCCAATCTTCACCGGTAACGATGCGAAATAACATGGCTACACCCGTAACCGGGGAACCAAAGTTGGCACGGCGACCAATACCTTCACCGTACTTGACAGTACCGAAAAGAATGGTGCCGGCCAACGCATAAAAGAATACCAACAAAAACATACCAAAGATAATGAAAAACGATTTGCACACTGATACACCTACGGTCAGCATTAGCATTTTCAATGTAGTATGTTTTCCAGTAATGGTGAAGAAGCGCAATATTACCACCATGAAGCCAAAAAAATACGACAAATCGTTCTGACGAAGGTAAAATTAATCATAATAAGGATTTTGTTCTTATTATTTACCCAAAACATTTATGCAAAACAGAGAAAGAAAGAAAGAATGAAAGAAAGAAAACTCACGCGTAATATAGTTTGCAAGAAAATCCACACTACACCTGAGACAGTGACCAATAAATCATAACGATTTCGACGGGATTGCCAATAGCCGCGTGGTGTAAAGGCAATGATCTTCATGACCACTTCCACGACAAACACAAACGTTAACGTTACACTTAGCAATACACAAATCTCAGTGTAGCTTTCACCCTTAATCCACTAAAATTTTTTAAAATTATTGTTTATTAATGAAACAGCGCGTGTTTCGAGTGTGTTTTGAAAAATTTACCGTTATTGATAATAATGAACTGTTTATTAAAACGATGGCAGCTATGAAACGTTTAAAATAGATATGCTGTGTAACGTCATAGGCGAAAGCGCGTACTTTCCGGCCATCTGGCCTTGGCGGCAAATGCAAAGGTTGAGCAATTTTCAATCGTTTCTTAAGGTCACACCAACGTCTCTGATCTACGGTTAGTAAAGCGGTCCCTTTGTTTTCTGAATAATTGGCAATAACGACACCGACAAACAATGTTAAACCGATCATGCAACCCAAAAATATATAGATGTGTATATAAATTGCATGAATCTGTGGACGACATTATCTTTGAAAACTCCGGTCAAAAAAATATATGAAAATCAATGCTTACTGGTCCGACAGCTTTTATTAAAACATCGCGTACATCTAGCCACCCTTTGAAGGACAATACCTCGAATAACGTAAGCATAGCATCACCGATATTATCGAAGTTAAAACGTCGTGGATTAGCCCATACTCGAGGCACTAACATAGCTGGATATGATTCATCAGCGCCCGGAGTTAATTTCATTTTGGTAACAAATACTCGACGCATAAATACACCTACGCAGTCGTCTCGTTTTACTATAGTTGGGTCATTACAGCGAGCCAATCGCCCACCGTATAACTGTACACCATAACTAGCAAATATAAACATTAGCAATATAAGCAGAGTGGATACAAGGAGTATCTCTTTAAAACCTCGACATAGCTCATAGACCACTTTACGCATATGCGGCACCAAAGTAAAAATCCTTAATGGTCGTATGCAACGCAAAACCATTAACAATTGAGCTCCCGAATTTGTAGGTATCTGCTTAGGCATCCAGCAAAGAAACGAAGTGGATACAAGATATATGAATATATCCAAAACAGCGGCCACATCTTTTACATAAGCTTTTGGAGTGAAAAACAGGCCATCAGCTAAAATTTTCAAAGCCAGCTCCAAGCTCATAAATATTACAAAAGCGTATTCGGCTATCTGCAAAGTGGGATGATCCATAACACGATCGTTGGGCGTTTCAAACATCATAGATATACAAGACAAGGTTGTCACAAAAATCATAACCCAATCGAGATATGTAACTAAACCTAGAAAATTACTGCAAAAAAAATATGGACAAATTTCATCCACTTTTATATTGAAGAAAACCTTACTGCAATACTTACTGCAAACTCTTGTACTGAACTTTTCTTTCTTTGCCCGTTAAAGGATCCTTAAGGCGAGCATCATAACGGCCATGAACAATTTTTTGACATATTTTGCGAAAACGGCTCTCCCTAGGTACCAAAAATAAGGGCGTATCGAAGAAAGGATGATTTTCTCTCAAATCCTCCTCCCTTTGATTACGTCTCATTTCCGCTTGCTGACGCTTCGCCTGCAATAGTTTAATGTCTAAATCATGAGGTCTAGCACGGCCTGAATTCGCTCGTGGCGCAGAAGCTATATCACCATTTTCCATTATCGTCTCATATGTTTGCTTAATTTTAATTGAACCTGAACGCACGCTACGTCGTATCGAACGTGAACCGAATCTAGTACAAAATGAATTGGGTGGAAGTGAAAAAAATTTAATTTTATTATAAATTAAAAAAAAAAAAAAAAACCGGAAATTTATTTACTTCTTTTGATCAACACGCCACGGCTTAGAATGCGTAATAGTGCCTTGAGATTTAAGACCTTGTTTTGCACCTACCACCGGCAACATGGCTGAATCGCCTAGCATTAAACGTTGATTGTTCGAGTCACTACCGACGAAAATGTTATCAGAGAACTTAAATATTATTCCAAGTACTGTTGATTACGAGACCTTACTTGATTATATGCGTTATGGCCAATTTTCTAAGTCTGCTCCCCGCTGATCTCACTTTAGCGGTTTTATTCATAATTCTTACGGGCTTTTGTTTACGGAAAACTTCATTAGATTCCCAACATTCTGACATCGGTCGCTTGCAGCTTTCCATTGAGGGATCATCGATTTCCAATTCCATAACAAATTGTTTCATAAATGATTCACGCACCTTGGGCAATGTAAAATCGTTGGGAATACGATGAAGAATTGTCATTTGCGGTGATTGAGGAAACTTTTCAAATATGCGTAACCGAAATGGTAAAGTTTCTTTAATTTCGGCGCTTTGCTCACGAAACTTTAGCTGTTTCAGCTTTTTTATATCCTCATCCAATTCCAAGTTATCCAAAATAACTGCCACAAATAAACTTAGAACAATGAGAGTGACAAACAAATGATAAAGTATGAAATATATGGCGACTAGGGGTGTTAGCGTTTTACTGGTACGTATCATAGTCTCATCCATAACCTCAACCCAGGCTTCTTGTGTAAGAATTTGAAACATGGACATGAACGCTTCCGGAAAGGATTCGAATTTTGTAAAGTCACATAGAAAACAAAAAAGTTGCATTGAAATACTAGAACTTATAATTAATAAGCAAACAGTAAAAGTAATCAGAGACCCCAACTTTTTGCCAGGGCCAAAGATTTTATAAACAAAACCTTCTAGCATAGGTGAGGCTTTAATTAAACGCACTACACGTAAAACCTAAAAATGAAAAAGAACGTATCAATCAATCAATATCCAGTACTTCGGGAATGTATCGTAACGTGCCTGAAAGTAGGTAAAACCGGATAAATAAAAGCTCGGAACTATATGTATAGTCGTGCCCACAGCTAAAAGCAACTCAAATTTATGTATCGAATGTTTATAGTAGCCGCGCCAACCCAAGCAATACATTTTGAATATAGTCTCCAAATCCAGAAGGAAAGTGAACACAGCCTCAATGTAATAATACTTTTCATAGAAAACATGCCGTGGTCTACCATCGTGCTTAAATGTCATGGTCGCCGTTACAATACCATTAGCAAGTATTGTGGTCATAACCAACATTCGAAAGTACGGTGAACGCAGGATGGCGTGGCAAGTTTCCGGTGCCAAGCCGCCATGTTTACTATCGTCGATGGTAACGAGACGCCAGCCCTGATCATTGCCGCTTAGAATTTGTGAAGCAGCCGTTTTCTGTATGTGCCCACGAGCACCCCACATTTGCTGAAATTGTACCCGGATTTCATTAAACGTTTCCGTAATAACAGCAATGAAAACATTTTTCACCAACCAAGCTAAAAAGAATATCATAGTACTTCAAGGGAGCGCAAAAGAAAAATTAAGTTACCATAAAATAATTAATCCGCATAAATGAGACGTATCAAGCACTCACCTAAAGTAAAATGCCGCTCGCCAAGCTGGCAGAGAGTCTATTGCTCGATACATTATAAATACCCAGCCTTCTTGTGAAGCAGCCTGATAAACGGTAAATATACTCGTGGCTATATCCTCAAAACCATTGAAACCGATCACATAGCTTGTCAAAAAGTCCAACTTTATGCATTTCATACCCGGCGAACATTGATAACCCGAATCCGGATCCATTGAACAAAACGTATCCGGTATGGCCAATGAATTTATAGTTAGTATCCTTTAAGGTAATACAATAAAAGACATAAATAATCGTAACAACGATCAACGCGAACAATGTAATTAAATGCCTACGGTCTGCCATATTCATCGTTATCGCTATTATTCATGACGCAATGATTCTTCAATTCTCCAAAAAATTGCACGCCCATTAGACCATAAAGGGACATAAAAAATAAGAAGAATAGTGTCACATTGTAGATCTGTTGACTCGAGCGTCTATAAGATGTAGAAAAAAAAATTTTCTGTAAAAATTGGGAAAATTTTTCCCATCACATTTGCGGCAAAGGAACTAACTTACTTGAATATTTGATTGATCCGGCTTTTAGGCATAGAGAATTTCAGGAAAACCCTAAGAAATCGTATCATTATTAAAGGTCGAGGGGCTCGCATTATCGATTGCGGAGAAAATCTGTAAATATTTTGCATTAAATATTATTTACCTTAACCTTAAAATTATTCCTTTCTCTCGTCACTCACTTTGGCACAATCTCGAGTATTTCAAGTATTTGTAAAATAATTGATATCCACAGAAAGAATACCATGGAAAAATCAAATTGACACCAATGATCCTTTAAATATGGCGCATCACCCTAATAGTTTTAATAAAAAACAAAAAAAATTATTTAAACACTAAAAACACTACATAATTACGTGAGTTACAAGTGAACCCCATTTATAGTTATAATGCGGTATGAAAATTGTTAAATATTTTAATCAATAATGAACACATAAAGCATATTATGTTTAATTATATAAGAGGATAGTTATGAAACTTTATTGCTATTAGGATAAAAATAGAAAGCGGGCGATACTTACCCTCAATACCCCACGTATATGCATTTTTGCTACCATTTCAGCGGTGAATAGTAGTGTCACTGCAATATCCGATATGAATGTAATATATTGTAGGGGTGGATGTCGCTCGAAAGTTTTCGGCGTATTTAATGAGACTGAGGCCAAAGCTACCAATGCGCACAGACGCATTAGTCGCCTTACCCACAGCTTATTCACCCATTCAATATCTGCACTTTCGTTAAGCGACTCTTCTGGTCCGTAGTCGGCCAAATATGGTTCACCGCCTTTAAGACTTTGCTTGCGACCTAGCATTTTATTACCAATGCCCGTTGCAAGACCAAGCCCGGTAATAGCAGCACTACTAGGTCCCATAGTGCTGCTAATACCGCCACAAATACCCACACCAACACCGCTTAAACCTCCGGTGCCACCTGATAAAGCACCACTTAACTGCATTGGATTTAGATTGGCACCGTTATTATGGCCACCGAGGCCGGTAATACCGCTACTGCCGGCGCCGCTGCCCGCCACACCTATTCCAGTTACTGGATTCGGAGGATTATTGTGAGCATTATAATTGCTGCTGATTGCTACTGTGGCTGAAGTGCCTAACATTGGTCCCATATTATTTGAAACACGTTGACCACCACTGCTTCCGCTACCGCTGCCGCTTCCAGAATTTAAAACAGTTGGGCTATTAATATTACTAACACCATCGGCTCCATAACCAGTAGAAGCACCGTTATGTGTTAAAGTGCACAGCTGACCCTTAGGACTATCGATCCGACTAAAAATGAAATGTTGTGCTTGTACCGACTGATGCTGTTGACTACGGAAATGTTGGTACAAAAAATGACTACTCGCACTGTGACTTATGCCAGGACTTATGGAACTATGACTACCGCTACTACTAATAGGAGCTAAATTTGTGGCCGAAAGTGTTTTACTACGGGCTGCTCCTAAGCGACGTGTTCGCAATTGTTCACTCATTCAAATGGATCAAGTCATAATAGTTGTTGCATAAAATATTTTAAATGTACCAATAATAATTATCTGCAAAGTACAAATAAAGTTACTTTAGAAACTTCATAAATAAATAAAAAAAATTCCTCTGTTCTTGAATTAAGCATATTCCCAAAATTGAAATGATGGTCTCGTGGGGAGCTTTGTAATATACACTATTGGCTTAAACATTATATTTGACTCAAAGTTAAGGCAAAGATCAATCTACTCAATGTAATCGTATGTCGTATTGTATACCGTATATCGCATATCCCGTAAAGGGATAATCTTCGCAAAGATTTCCAAAACCACGCACATAAAGACCGCATTAATATACTCCAACTAATTTTTACATGATTCTTGAATATGTTTAATTAAAATTTGATGTTCCAACTTAAAGCTGTTAACTTAAGGAAATCATTTTTTATGGCCGAGAAAAAAAACCAAAATTAGTAACTTTTTTTGACTTTTCATAAAATTTATTCCGTAACTAGGAGGCTTCTTAATATATGCCATGATTTATTAAAATTTTTCCTCTGTCTGAGAAAATTTTAAAGAAACAATGTGCATTTTCTGATATAAACAAAATTAAATAAGTTTAAAACTATTGTGAACTAACTAAAAATTATTTGCATGGATTATTAAGATTAAAGCGTTCCCAACATGGATTTGCGGCCAGGCCAAGCTTCTTTAGCGTATTTCTTTTTCTGAGGTTCGTCGTTTGTTCCTGTATGCATTGAGCCGTCATACCGTACGTTTGCCGAAGCTAATTTCCGAGTTAAGGCTGGTGTATTTATGGGCGACACAAAAGATGCCTCAACAGGCGTCACATCAGGTGCTGGATTCGGTAATAATAAACCTAATATCGAGCCTAATGCCAGTGGGCTTGCCAAAGTAAAGTCATTGCCTACGTGCTGTATATGACCGTCATGGGTAGCAGCTGGTAGTCCTTGGTACAAAGACGGTGAAGCAGAAGTGGTACTAGTGGAAGAAATCGAGTTTTGTAAATTTTTTATATGGTCCTGCATGGAGGTTAGTGCGATATGTTGCGTAGGCGTGGTTAAACGCATTTGCAAGCCTTCATAACGTGCGCGCTTAATAGGAATTACTGTTGTCTGTACAAGATTACGAAAACGCCCGACGTTTGGATCTATATCTTCGGGATTAATAATGATTTCCTCATCATTAAAAATAACACAAAGACGTTTACGTGATTTAGTCTTTCTTATATTATCGTCAGTTATGCCTAGCATAGAGATTCTTCGATTGTGTGCCGTATTATATTCCGTTAAATTATCCAATTCTGTTTGACTCTCTGGGAAACCTAAGAATGATTTACACTCAACTCTCCTCTAATACAATTATGGACTTTCTACGGAAACCGTTGAAATTTTGAAAATAATTGAACTTAGGAAATGCGGCGTTATATAGAATTGTTTGCTCTCATTCACGGAAATTCCCGAACAACGAGAATTAGAAGTAATCCAGAAATGATAACAATAACAATTTAACACATCGAATAAGTCCACTCATCGATACATTTCACAAGCAAAAACGCTATACAGAAGATCTGTCACCATTGATGTTAGCCCGCATTGAAATCATATTACAGGAATACTACGTTATCGAAGCCTTAAGTGAACTTGTTTCATGAAATCGTTTCGATGAAATTCAAAAGAAAAAATTAGTTGAAAAGATTAGTTGCGCTCCGCTCATCGTTATAAATATTCGACAAATCCAATCTATATCTTCTAATGAATATAACAGTATCAATATTTCTAAAATGTATTTATACCCACAAGTTGTCCATGTATATTAAGAGTATGTTTGAATGTTGCACTACCCGGTCTAAAAATCAACAAGTAATAAAATTGTTATTTGATATTTTCAAAATCAAGGCTACGCTCGTTTAGCATATACCATGTAACAGCTTGATGTTTACATTTAAGTGACTAAATAATTGATTGATATCTGAACAGCTGACTTTATACGACAATGAGTTTTTTGTTTTCTCTCACAAACACTAGTACAACCGTTAAAGATTAAGGGATATAACAGTTATATAATTATAACTGTGACACTGAATACATACCCATTTCTTTTTTTTTTTTTTTATTGGTTGAAGGAAGCAGAAAACATAAAAATGATTAATAATAAATTATACGAATAGAGTGTGTGTTACAAATAAAGGATAAAGAAACAGATAGGTGATTTACTCTTAACTTGATTTCTATTATAAATTTGCGTTTTTTTTTTTTTTTTTATTAATATGTTACATATTTTTAGGAGCTTAAGAAGACTTTAAAAAGGAATTTTTGTAATCGTCACGCTTTTCTTTTTAGCGAAGTTTCGTTTTATATGTAACTATGAACTTTAAAGTTTAAACTATTTTATGCATTTGCTCTTTAACTAATGTTTTCTTCCTTTTTTTTTTTTTTTTGTTTTTATTATTGTTATTAATTTATTTGTTGAAATATACGAAACTGCAAAAAATGTTTAATAGAAACGAGGGAGAATGAAATAATGATTACTGTTATTTAAAGTGTTGCATTTTAACGCATACGCAAAGGAGAATTCTTTAATGTCTGATAAGACATTAGTAGACTGTGTCATGTAAACAGAGAAAAGGATACATTTACCTTAGACGGAATGTTTTGATATTTCGTCACTTGCTCGATATATTCAGCAAGAAAGTAAATTCGATTTGTTAAACAATAAGTGGCTTGCAACCCATGAAATGTTCGGATTGCTAATTTAGTAAAACCTAGGGCTTGTGAAATAGCATTGAATATAACATGAAAATAATGTATAATTTTTAATTCTTATTACAAAAACGAGTGAATAACTGCTCTAGGCGAAGTGACGTAAAGTATTTACTGATCCGTCTTGCCCGATTATAATGTTCTCACTTCTTCCCATTCTTTTTAATTACGAGATCAAAACTTTATTTATTTTAACAAGCTGATGAAAGATACTGAATGATCCTATTTAAGCTAAATATAATTTCCCTTTTGATTCTTTTCAATAAAAATGTATTTTATTATAGAGATAAAAATGAAACTACTGCACGTTGTTGCCAACTTTAATTTTTAAAAATAACAGAATTCTCCAGAAAAAGAAATTATATTCGTTGCAAAAGAGACATTTCATATTCATCACTGAGTTGTTGTGAACATAGGGGGTAGTTGTTTCAAAACCACATACGTTATATAATAAAGAAATTCTGATTATCTAAAAAATTATTTATCCCTAACAATTTATCTTTTGAGGCAATCCAATAATAAATAATTTTTGATCTTTCCGAAAAGCAACTAGAAGGCTCAACAACCAGATTTCCGGGATAACATCTGCACTTAAGGGACCAAAGCATTTAACTGACCAACTTAATAACATCTAACCGTCTGTTATTAAGTTTGTTTACCATTCTATACATTTGTCAGCATTTAAAGTGTCAAATAATTGCAACTTCTGTTGCAATTGCTCTGTACCTTCTTTAATCTTAGAAAAAACATGCTTGAACCGTCTCAACCTTTATTGTATTAAGGTAATCGGAAATTCATTTCGTTTTTCCCCAACAATGGATTTAATTGCATTTTTTCACAGCCCAGTTCACATTTCAAGCACCCCGTCTTCACCTATTTCATATCTGATATCGCAATCTTTATATAGGTAAAATTTTCCTTGATTCTACCAAACACCGAAAGCATCGTTATTCAGTATTTATCTTACGCTAAACGATTCAGTTCGTAGAATGCAATGGGTAATTTCAATAAAAACTCATATTTCTTTGTTAATAGTGCAGTCCGTAACAGACTTGCACGCTTGTTATTATTAAGTAATGATGAATAGTTGCAAGATTGAGTTTTATTGTAAATTGCAATTTCAATTTTTGTGTATTGCATTAATGCACTGAATTTTCACTGAACACTAATTTTAATTTTGCTTTGCGACAAAAATGAATTGTTTCTGATTCATAAATGTGTGATATGGATTTCATTATTACTTTTTTGGACGATTTTCTTTATTGGGCTGGAATGATTAAGGTTTTTCAATCTTACATGATTTTTTAAAGTTGTGAAGCTTATCCCCAAAATTTGTTGCACAGTTTTCGTATGGGTAAGAAAAGAGTGTATTGAGTGTATTGAGAGAGTTTAATTTTATCATCAGATAAGAGCTTTTAAGGATTATTTGTTAATGCTTTGAAATAAATTCGTGGGAATTTTCATTTAAAGTAACGTAAGAAACGAAGGAGGTTAAATCAAGTGTCCAATATGTTTTATCAAACATGAAAATTTTCTATAAATTATTAAGCCTAATAATACACGATAAATTAAATCATCCAAATTGACAAAGAATCTGAGCAAAATAAATAGACAACGACTTGTTTATATCTCCTTTCGTATGGTCAGCTGTTTTTATTTTTCCCATTACAAAAATAATGTAGACATTTCCCAATCAGACATTTTAAAAGGAATAGATAACCGGTATTGGCAGCACAGTCGCTAAAATATAAACAATAGTTTAACATTCAGGATATTCAGGATAAGAGTTAATGCGCAAGTCTTTATAAAAATCTTAGGAAACTTGTTTGATATATTATAGCAATTAAAGTAATATTAAGTAAAAGCAGTTATTAATAGAAAATGGGTAATAAATCGACAAGCCATTCATCTATTTCGTATCCGCAACATGATGATCCGGCTTATAAGAAATGCCAGGAATTAAAGGTTCGTAGAAAATCGGATTAAGTAATTTAAAAATATGCGCTATGTTTGTAACACCTCCTGACTAGATGGAGCGTTGGATACAAATGCATTATCAAATTAAAGAACGCGAACAGGCTATGGAACTTGCACGCACTAGGGAGTTATTCTTTTGGCTAAGTGGTTTCTACTTGACTTCATTTTTTGTCACAGTTTCATATTATCAACGCCTTAAGCGGCCAGTTGTTTTCCTGCCCATGATTCCACTTACATTCTTATGCGGCTATTATGCAGATATGGCTTACGGCAGTAAATTGCATCGCATAAAAGGTGAGTCAGTCAAATCTGCCAACAAAAAAAGAAAAAAAAAATTTGGCAACTGTTCACATAAAAACAACTCGCTATACGTGATTTCAAGGACACAACCAACTTTGTCTTCAAAACATTTACGTAGTTACATTTTCAAGGATTTTTCATATCATTATTTTACAGATCTAACTCTTCCAGAAATAATAACCAAATTGGGTTTATTACGTCCTCTTCTGGGTATACCGCCCCCAAAATGAATTCATTTATTTTAATTTTCTCTTTCATTTTATTTATTCGCTAAATTATTAATAGTAATAGTAGTTCACTAAATAGTCTCTAAATATATGAGTTTTTTTTCCAAAAATTCTCTTTAAAAAAAAAAAGTGTTTTATTTAAAGCAGATTTTAATTCAAATTGGAAAATCTAATTGTACACTCTAATAAAGTTATTTATTTTTTCTTGTTTTTATTTTTGTTATTCATACTTTAGCTGAAGCCAATATGATAATGGAACATGAACCGGAACTATTGCATTGGCCAGGTGGTTTACCAACAGTAGCCAGTATTGATGAAGCACGAGTTGAAGCTGAAATGGAAAAGAAAATGCATCCCCACCATTCTTAAATTTTTCGACAGCACAGCAAGGACAAATTTTAATTAGCAGCAATAATTACACAACGGTTTACAACAATTTCAATAGCAAATATTTAAAAAGAAAGAAAATATAAGTTAGAAATAAGAGACAATATTTCCGTAGCATTACGTATATACTGTGTTAAAGAGAACTTAACCTATAAATGAAAATAACAAAATAATCTATATATTCGCTCAATATAAATAGACTTTTTCTGATTAAGATAAATATAATTATTAAATTTCACTTAAATAAATATTTATTCACTAACGACTTTCAGGATGAGTTTGCACATAATGTTTCTCAACCTGCCTTCTTAATAACGAACATTTTTCATTGTTAATAACTCTAATAAGCTTTGCAAAATTGTGTAACTAAAGTTTGTTTTAACAAAAAACCAACAAAGTAAATGGAATCAGAAATAGTAGCACTTGAGCATAAAATAGAAAAACTGCTATATTTTATTTATACATACGGTTTTATTACCAAGCACTAATAAATATCTTTTTTTTTTACATTTTTTCTCGTTAAGGACGTAACATTCTTATAAGTCTGTCACAGCAAATGAACAGAGTTGTTCAATTTGCTTCGCTGCAAGGGCTTTCGAAATTGATAAGAGCGTTCATATAAATTTTCGAGCTAATATATGTTCAAATCTTTGCATTAATTTACGGTCGCTTATTTTATTTATATAATATTTTTCGAATAAATATTATTATTATTAACATAATATTATAACTAAATCATAACTAATTTGGCCAGAGCATTAAATTCTAGAACTAAGGCCTTAAAGCTGCCGGCTTTATTAAAAACTCTACCGCACTTGATATACATATTTATATACGTATTTATCTGTCAATTTCCAAGTATTAATAGCAAATACTAAATAATATTCTTGCATATAAATGAAAGTGTTTATTATCTAAATATTATCCCCTTCCTGTTATCGCAAAGCAAATAAATTAATTGCAGAAAAAACAAATTATAAAAACAATCCCCCGCCCTGCCTAATAAGGCAATTCTATCTCGCATCTGGCAGCACAGAATTTCTTTCCATCCACAACAACTCAATTTCTTACCACGAATGACACAATAAAACGTATAAGAAATATTCTTCTTGTTTCTTTATTTCTATGGAATATGATTATTTCCTTTCTCTTTACATTCTTTTCGTGTGCTGATAATTTTTCCGACTTGTCGTCGTCATAAACGGTTTTATTGTTACAATAAGAAATTATTTATCCCAATAATTTTTGTTACAACATAAATGTGCATTTAAATAATTTGTATATTGATAATAGTTTCTTTGCAAAAGCAACGGGAAAATAAACAAAACGAAGTAAATTAAAAAAAAAAAAAAAAGGCGATTTGCACAGGAACCCCCGATAATAAGGTGGAAAAAAGAAAAAAAAAAAAAAAAAAAAAAAAAAGGAAAAGGAAAAGGAAGACACAGGCAGCAATCAAATTGAAAAGAACAAAACAAACGCAAGAAGAAAAGTGACAAGTTCCTTAACAGCGGTCCAAGTTAAACCACTTAAGAATCTGTCATACAAAGAGAATTTTATTCAATTAATTCTTTACTGGACAAATAGTTGGAATAAGTAGCCAAGTGAAATTTTTTTTTTTTTTTTTTTTCAAGTTAAAAGAACACTGACAGATATCATCAAAGCAACCAGCTAATCAAATCAGGTTCAATATAATTTAATTGAAAAGCATTGATTGTTTTCAAATTTGTTTATTATAATAACATTACAGATACGCAGATAGGCAGGAGGGGAAGTAATTAAAAATGGCCGCGGTCAATGATTGTTTCAGTATTGGTTCCACGGTACTGTGCACGACCTGCTTTAATGAAGAAGTGGAAGGAGAAGTTCTCGCCTTTGATCATCATACAAAAATGCTGATTTTAAGTATCCTTTTAAAAAAAAAAAACGAAAAAAACCCCCAAGTACAACAAGAAAAAGTTTGATTAAAAATTCAGCGATTACTGTTTTTTATTATTTATGTATCACTTTAATCATATACACATCTTTTTAGCCAACTAGGAGAAAGTTGAAAATTGTTGGTTTTTAATTATTTTCGCACAAAAAGTACCACAAATGAGCGTAGATATGTTAACTGAAACATAAGTGCATATGCAGCATATAACGTAAAGAAAACTTGTAAATGAGTACGTTAGTGTGACGCTAACGTTATTTGTGAGCCAGGGAAAAACTTACGCATTAAATGAAAATTATTTATGTGAAAATTAGCTAGTTGTCGATTTTCCTTAACTAAACGCCTTTAAATAATAGAATGTCGCTCGAAGAACGCGGAGAATCTAAACGATGTTTATGTATTGAACTTGTCGCTGTGCAGCAATGTTCAAGTAATTAAAGAATGTAATGGTAATTTCGTTGACGACCCTCAAAAATTGAGTTTGGAACAAGTAAGTGAGATGAAAAAAAAAAAACCCGATAATTAATTACATTAAAAAATTTGCCTTTAAACACTTTCTTGCAGCTTAAATTACGACTACGTAAAACAGTTCAGCACCGACAAACGTATCTCAAGTCGAAAAATGCTGATGTTAGCGCGGAAGCCCAAGAGCTCTACAGATTGATTGCTAAGCAATTTCAGGTTTATTGGAAATTTTCTAATAAGAAAAATAAATGAAAGAAGGTAAAAAAATAACTTTTGTATTAATTTCGTTTCAGTATACTGAAGTTTCTTGGCAAGGACCCAATATTCAGATATTAAATGAAGTGACCGTTACACCCCCATACCGGGCCGAAAATGTTATATCAACAACTACGAACAATAATAATAATAGTTTGTGCAACTATATTAAAAAGATGGTAACAATTTAGTTTTTATTGTTTTTTTTCCAATTTTTTGATAAGATTTTGTAAACATTTTTTACTTTTTCTTTTCCTTTTTTTTTAATGGTTTTAGATTGAAAATTATTTTGCCACAAAAGCTTCGTCGCACGAACATAGTACCGTTGCAGCGGGTACATCGTCAACATCATCGCCCACATCTTCATCATTGTCATCAAGTAATGCGGCATCGGGTTCTCCCGTGCCAGCTAATTCATAATAAAATTCGTTTTAATAAAATCTCCCAAAAAAACAATAAAAAATTACAAAAAAAAAAAAAAAAATAGTTTTGAGGAATGAACATATTAGTAGATTCAATTTACGCTGAGCTTACAGGCATTTAGTTCGACACAGTTTACTAGAAGATAACATACGTCTATGCAACGTCAATTCTATTTAAAGCTTTATTTATTGGCGCCCCTGCTTTCGTAATAAAAAATGACTTCGAAAATTTCATAAGAACGATCACGCAGGATACGCAGTTTGATTGTTACTTGAATATACAAAAGAGAAATTTTTGAAAGAAGGAAAGCAGCCAGATTTGCGCTTCAAAATCCATTGCCATTTAAATAATGATCGATCATATTACAACTAGATTAGAATGTTGTGTTACCGTAGACGGCTTCATTTGCTGATCGCTTGCGAAACTCTCATTCTTAACGTATTCTTAGTTCATCAACAAATTCAACAAATCTATTTTCATTCTGAATTTTTCAGGTTCACTTTTCTGCCTTTTAAAGGACAACATCCTTATCTTTTGTCTTATAGTCTACTTCCATACGTGTAGCTACAGTTGAGAAGCGTCTCACGCTAACTAACGGAGTAACGAAATACAAATATATATATATATATATATGTAAATTTGTAATGTCGATTTGATACCTCAAGACTTTCTTTCTTCGGCGTAATCTTCCCAATTACTATAAATTACATATGATTTACATCAAACCTCGTCATCGGTACGAAGTATGTGTTAAAAGATGTTAAGAAGAGCTACTGAGATTGCTTACGGTAAAACTGTCGAAAGTTAGACTTGCTCGTGTAAACGGTAGGGGTAATGTGCATGAAACAGAAGAAGAAAAAATTGTATTTGCAAAACGTCAGTGAATGTAGCATTGGCTGGAGGCGAACAAGCTACCAATTAAGACTTCTTCGAGGCATCTGATTGTTTTGCATTTATAAAACTCGTTACAACAGAGAAAGACAGAAATTGTATACTTATACTGTCCGTTCTAGGAAATGGTCAAAGTTCGAGGCAAATCGAAATTCGTTCTACAATAAAATTACTTTTGAATTTATCAAAGAAAAGTCATACAATATAAATATGATAAAGTATTTCAGCGGTATTTGATAAAGTATTTCCTTTATTTTTCATAATTGCGAACTACGAGATACGAGAAAAATAAATATTGACTAAAAGTCAACAAGAGAAATCGTCTTAGGTATGACGGAAGTAATCAAATTTTTAGAGTTGAGATTGTGGATTGAATTGTTTGTCTCTCTGTCTGTCTGTCTGTATTACTTTTAAACAACTTCGAAAGGGAATCAAAAATAACCTTGCTCAACATATTGAGTTGGGTTACTTTCTTAAACTCCCTAAGGTTTATTAGTGTAAACACTTATACAAAGCAAGATCGCAAGTATCTTTGCCCCGAAATTCGCAAAGTACGAGTAATTGTTTTATTTAAAGCAATTGGTTTGCGTTTTTATTCTTGCTTTATTCTCACAAGTAGCGCCTATTTAAAAAAAATATATATAAATACAAAAATAAATAAGTTGGACATCATATATTAAGCTGCTAAGGGTTAACTAAACGAAACGATAAAGTGAAAATACGTGTGAAAAAAAGTACATTATTTTGCATTTTTTCCGGCTCTTTACGTGCAGTGCGATATATTTTTTTCTTATAATTACACACACCATTACACAAAAAAAACCAAATTAAAATTAAAACATTTAATAGTAATCACGTACAAAGTCCCGACATGGACATCAGTTAACTGTGTATGACGAGTACATAGCTCTTGATTTGTCCATCCGTCCTTGCCGGATTTTCGCATAAGATTTCATCACTATGAATGTCTGTTTGCCAGAATAGTAAAGTATTTTTGACATTTTATCAGGTCGGATCGTTCCATTACAATCTTCGGTCTTTGACGAGTCGGCTCGGCCACCACTAAACAGATCGACTCAGTTAGGTACTTAAATTTGCCTGCGTCTTTCCAAGTTTTATCAAAACTTTCTATTTTTAACGGGAAGCCAGACCAGCACACATATTTGCCCACTACCGTTACGGGGGAAAAAAAAAAAACAAGAAAGTTATTACAGCTGTATAGCTGGATATGAAATTCAACAAACTTGATTAGTGTACACACCCTTCGCACGATTTGTTTTTTTTTTTTTTTTGCGATGCGTTTAAAAAGATTTGTATCCTGTTTACAACGACCCCAGGCGACAATTATCAAATACGAATTTTCATTCTGACTAATTTCAAAAATTTTGTTCGCTTCTTGAGCGCGAATGCTAAGTTACAATGCAAAATGTTGCCACTTGGTTTAACGGCGCGTTAAGATTACATTAATGCCAAAATTGTTTGCTAGAGAAGGTACTAACTATGAATAATAGAACTCACCCCGCTTCGCTCGAACAATTAATATTTTGTATAATTTCAATTTTAAAAATAAGACTTCTCTATTTTCCAAGATTGATTCTGATTGAAAATATCTTCGTCTTTCAATGGCGATCTTCAATTTCTTTTTATATAATCTACAATGCTCTTTAAAGATTTTGTTATTCTTAAAATCCGTACTAAATCCCGTACTGAGTGTTTTTCGCTTTAGGAAATTTGTTAAAATTATTTTGTTACTTTTGATTACTTTTTTGTTTTTTTTTTTGTTGTTGTTGTTTTTTGCCGAAGAAGCTCATCTTAACTAGAGTTGACAAAGTTTCAAATTTTGCTGCTTTTTTCTTTTTTTATGCATAATATATATACATATATATATATATATATATATATTATCATTTATAATAAACATAAATAACAAACGCTGGGGAGAGTGTAGTGTAGGGTGGTGCTTTTAGAAATTTTTTTTTTAGATTTTCATCATTGTTCATTTGTTCATGTTGTTGTCGCTTGCACTTTTGCAAATATTAAGCGATTTCTTGTTGCTTACATTTATTCCCGTCGTACCTAGTCCCCAATGATGGATCGTTTGGATGGATGGTAGGTTTGTGTTACTCGAGATGAATGTTTTTTTTTTTTAATTCTCACATATTATTAAGTTGTGTGTACATGTATATGCGTGTGTGTATATGAAATATTCAATAACAATTGTTTTTTTTTTATGAATATCTTTGTGAAAATGAGATAGGAGTTGTGGTTATACGTACGTAATACGTGCTTTTATATATTTTTTATTTGCCCTCTTAATACAAGGATATACATTTATAATATCTTCACCAGAGTAGTGATTTAGTTTTCCTTTTAAGGGATCAAGAATTCTTTTTCTATAAATAAGAGTCTGCTCTCGCTTCTATTCTTCGCATAAACGAATTGTTAAAATTCTCTACCACATAATTACTCGCTTTTATATTTACTCACTCAATAATTTTTTTATTCGGCATGTTGGTGATGACGAGCCTTAGCTAACTGACTATTTAACGGTATACTGTTGTTGGCCTGCTTTTTAATTTGGTAGTTGTTCTTTTTTCCTTTATTTATTGTTTTCTTGTTTTGTTTTTCAAATAGACTTTTGTTGGGATTTTTTTTTTTTTTTTTTCTGTTAATTGTTTGATCCGTTTTAATATATAGTAAAGATATAATAGTGTTTGGGAGAAGGGAGGGGCAGGGAGGGTTAATTTAATTGTAAATCTTGATGGCCTTCTCAGAAAAATTTAGAGACGTCCGCTTGCGTGATTTGTTAATGTGATCCAGACCAAAGTGTGGCCAGCTCTTACTAAAACTGCGATAAGTGTCAAAATCCACAGGTGTATTATCATGGACATCAGACGTATTACTCCCCATGATAACAAACTTGTAGTTTTCCCACTCTTTGTCGGGTACATTGAGACGTTTTTGGATGCGTTGCTTAAGAGCACCATATGGCTCATTAAGTTTTGCCTTAATCAAGAAAGGCACCCCAAATAGATTAAATATCTCTTTACTGTAATGAGCCACCGGTATAAGCATTTCATTTTCGGCCAATTGTATATCTTCCATAGGCACTTCTTCGATACGAAATGTTTTCTGGGCGCTTTGCGGTGCAATGGGGTCCATGGCATTTTGAAGAGATTCCAGTGACATGTCTTCTTTCAAGACAGTCACAATTTTGTGATTGTTCACCTTAAGTAATCTTAACTTTTTCGAACTATTTTCAGAGAATTGTATCTTTTTGGCGGCCTCTTCTAACAATCCCTTGACAGTATCATTTTTATTGGGATAGAGTACCAGCTCCTTTTCATCTTTCAAATCATTTGAAACCCAGATGCACTTGAATTGCTTTTTATTGTCAAGTTCGTGTATGCTGAGCGACAGTCTTTGATAGAAAAGCTTTTTGGTGGCGCTTTGCTTCGAAGGCATCAACAACTCCTTCAGGCAACTCTGTAACATAGCAAACGATATAAAAAGAAAAGCCGACGAGTTAATAGGCAATCACAATATGTTTCCTTACCTTGGTTTGATACTGAATTGCAGTACCCGGTTGATCTTTATAACTGCTAGTACAGGTAAAAAATTGTAATTTGTTGGGATCAGTATTTAGACGTTCTGCAACTGCTTGAGCCATTTGATCATATGTGTAACGATTTGAAAGTTCGAGTACTATTTCGGGCTCGTTTGGATTACCTTTGTCACAAAATGTGACTTCCACTCGGTAAACTAAGTCTGAAAAATAATCAACGACCGTGGGCAATTCCAATTTAGGATCGGTGTGATCTTTCTCAAAAATTAATATGAAGCCCTGAAGAGTGCCGCGATCTGTATTATCCGGATGGGAATCAAGAATATTCTCTAACGTCTCATTTAGATTTGTAACTTTGCGATCATTACATTCATCGTATACGGTTAATTCCGTGTCATTATCAAAGCCTAAGTGAGTATTTACATCCGGTACTATTTCGATAAGACGGCGACCCAATGGTTGCTGTGAACAACCGATGTAATTAAGTCGCTTGTTACGGGCATCGTAGAACTTGAAAAAAATCAATACTTCTTTTTTGGGATCGAAAGGCTGCAGTGCACCGCCAGGTTTGTCTTGGGGAGCCAATTCCAGAAATATTACCCATGGTTTTTGGGAACTGGGGATTTGCTCAATGGTACGATGACCCTCCCGTTGAAAGTCAAAGTAAAAGAATTTTTGTGTCTGAGCCGCGTACATTATCCAAACGCGCATACGTCCTTTTGGCACGCAAAAAGACTTGACAAATTGTTCCATCATTTCCTCAACAGATTGTGTCTGCTTAAATTTAAACAAACGCTGATGAATCTTATCCAAATCGAAAAGGCGGCGCTTCTGTTGCGCTTCAAAATACTCCTCAAGTATAATATGAACGGATACATACAAATTAACTTCACTTCGTTCTTTACGACGAGCCATTTCAATACGCTTTTCCAAATCGAGACGTTCGACTAGCTCACTAGGTATCTCATTCTCGGGTATATCGCTTAAAATTCGATTAATCTCTGATTTTCGTATATAAACCAACATGTACGCATTGCTACACTTGGCATGAAACGATACCTCATCATCCATGCCGCCATAATTTAGTTCTATTGCTTCGATTTTCTTGCAACTGCAGACCACATCATCATCGAATTTGTACCACTTACCGTCGCATTTTGGATTAATGAAAACCACGTAGTGACCACCATGATTATCTCCCGAGTGAACAAGTACAGCGTGTAAAACGTACTCGGCTTTGGTATCACCTTCCTTCTCCAGGAATCGATCAAGATTGATTTGCTCATAGAATTGAAAACGGTCATTATATTTGATTGAACTATCAGTAACCGGGTCATATTGAAAACGCATTAAATGCAAGTGCAACACCGGCGGGAATGAAGTAAAATGTACGCCTTTACTTGCCTCCTGCAGAAAATGGATATTATATATACAATATTATCTAATTGTATCAATTCATCGCGGTTTCCTAAGTTAAATGGATATATAACCTTACCTGCAAACCATGAACGCCAGCATCATATTTATTATCGCCTTCTAGAGTTTCGGGTGTAATGTAATCTTGGAAAGATTCCAAAATATCCTTTTTATCCTTAATGTTTAACTGTATATCATAAAACGTTTCGTAACGTGTACTATTGTAATCGACATTTTTGCATTTTATGTATGAGGACATTTTTCCCTCAAACAGACCTGGTATTGTACCTTCCAGATTAGTGCCTTTCATTTTAGATTCAAGCTTGTCAAGCAAAACGCGCAAAAACTCTTGAACATCATGTTGCATAAATGAATCAAGCGTTTCCCAGCCGAAGGACTTGGTTAATTTTTTAGTGCCAACTGGTTTATCACTGAACTGAAGTTCGTGAAAGACGCGCTGCAGCGAAAGACCTACAGATTTGGTACTGTCATCTGCCTCAGTTGGTATTTTATATACGGCTCTGCGCAATTGATTGGTAAAGTACAGAGTTTGCAGGAGAGAATTCATGTAACAAGTAGCTCCTTGATTTTTTAGACCGACATAACCTGTATGCTTCTTTGAATCCCATAGTACACCGTGAGGAGCGTCTGCGTGTACAAATACCTCTAATGTAATGGCTCCATTGTGAATATAATAGTTGTCGGGATCACGCAATTCTTGCCAAGAAATGAAATTGGAATACCCGTAATCATTTTCCTTCGAGTAGAACAAATGTTTAATACGCATACGTGTGAAAGGCTTAGCTCCTGGTTTGTGACTTTTTAAACGTAATTCTGCAATGGCATTACAGGACCACGTAGGTGAATCATTCTCACCATTGCACTGCAGGAAAAAGCCCAAGGCACGTTCATTGGGGATTACCATAATCTTCCATGGTAGCATGCGCACAAAAACGGGTGGCGATAATTGTTGTTGTTTCAAATGAATAATATTCTCTACGATGTAGGAGAATGTTGCCTCTGAACGACATTGATCCTCTTTAAGGTCATCGTCTTCGGCCATTTCTTGTTCATTAGCATAAGGAGATCCCGAATCAGCTAACAGTTGTTGTGGTGGAACATTGCCATTTTCATTAGGCAACTGACCAGGATTTGGGCTCAAATGTAACTTATTCAAATGCTGTTGGTGTTGCAATTCACCGCCAGGTAGAGCATCCATTTCTTGAATATCCATTGCTTCCATTGACTGATCCGGCTCAATTTCCATGTTAGGCGACACTCTTCCGCTATGTATATTCGCCTCTGGAATTATCCCCAAGCCAAGATAACGTGTAAATAGTTTACCTGAAATATGAATTGCATACATAAATAAAAATTGAAGCAAATCGTACGTCTTGGTATAGTATTGCATTTGATGGAATCGACCAAATTCTCAAGTCACGCATAAACTCACTTTGTATTTTATTAAATACAAGATATTCTCTGTGGTATTATTGTAAAAATTTTCTTTTCTTTATATATGTATTGTTTGCGACGAACGACCTTTGGAAAAAAAACATCAAAGATGACACACGCACTAAATAACATGCACTCCACATATATGACATAAACAACAAAAAAGAAACGAAATAAATAAACGACATAAAAGATATTGATCAATTTTTTAAGATTTATTTCACAAAACCACTTTTCTTCACACACAAAAAATTTTGCTCTCCGCGAATTGTATTAGTTATGTTTGTGAAAATGTGTTCTTTCTATTTCTTTACGGATTGATTCTCTTACCTGTCAAATTTTTCTTTGATTCTTCTTCTTGATGGTTTTACTTTGGCGTTTTCAATTTTTGTACTAACGCAACACACATACACGCTACACTCACCACTACCATATACGCACACACTAAATAGCGAAGACTAATCACACAGTATCAAGCCACAAACACAGGCACGACCGCTAAATAACAACAAAAACGGCTTCCTTTCCAATAAAAAAAAATTATACGACAATCTGCAACGTTGGCTGCGAGGTCGCTATGTATTTATTTTAACAATTTTTCCTCTCCAAAATGTATTCAACAATCCATGAAAAAAAATACAACGTAACTATCAACAAACAAAAGGTTAAAAAAAATGCTTAATAATTTTTCAATCACACTTCTATTGTTTATTGTGTGCGCGAGTATTCTCAAAAAAAAAATAAAAAAATAAAAAAAAATAATAAAACTGCGTCTCACAGCACACACACTACAGTGAGCTTTTCCAAAAGGAGTCGGCAATCAAAAAAAAAAAGTTGACTTATTGGACTTTTTTTTTAAATTCGTTTTAAAGGTCGTAAAATTTTATATATATTTTTTTTTTTTTGCTTTTATACCAAATGATGTTTGGCTCACTTGTGATCATTAGTTTAACTTTTAATTTTCAGCTGCTATTCACAAAATTTACATTTTTCATCAATTTTCTTCCTAAATAAAAATTTTACTTTGCCGTCACGTCAGTAGTATTGCCAGATTTAAATGTTCTTTACGATTGCTGCTGTAACTAGCGATACATGAGTTTATCGGGATATGGTGTAGAAAATTTCTTTACAACCAGAAAAGAACGGTATTATTAAAGAGGATCCTATAGAACTGAAGTTATTTAGTTAAAAAAGATGACAGAACATGAATCCTAATTAATTTTAGAACATTTTCCGAAAGATAGTGTACTTCCCGTGCTTTAAGATATACAACCTATGTAATACAGTCCATCTAATATTCAGCGAAAATTTTCCGTTATCTAAATAGAAATAGATAAATTGTGTTAAAAAGCTGAATGCTCAGCGATTTGTTTGATAGTGTCATTGTGTTGCTAAATTGCAACTAGTTTGGCTTTGGATTAATTTCAAAGCATTTCCAATAATTATATGCAGTTTTTCGTTTCGTCTTTATTCCATTCTCTACGTGCACGAATTCACCTGAACATGTTTTCGCTTTTAGCTTACTTTGCTGAAAACATGATATCTTCGCTCAGAGAAGTTTTAGACTTATTTCAGTTTCTGTCTAGACTTTCATATAATGGTTTTCGTCTTAGATTAAAGTGCAGAAAAATCAGTTACACATAGCTTCCGCGCGTTGTTAAAGGAAAATTATATGGTTAGAGTTTGTTTACATAAACATTAAGGAAGTGTAAATTATTAAAACCAAAAATTTCTTTCAAAAATGACTTTTTGAAGCGAAATACAATTAATAAGCGATTTTTTTCGTATAGGAACAGAAAGCAATGTAGTGTTCAGTTTAATCTTTTATTTACCTAGTGTGCTTGAAACATTGACCATATGATAATGCTTCGCTTTGATGAAAAGACATCACTATTTCGTTTGTCAAAAGCAACGCACGCAGAAATTTTAAAAATTTTCCAAAAATTTGCGTTCACGAAAAAGAAAAAAATTTATTCTGAAATCACACAAGTTCGCATGTAATTGACCAAACATGGTGTAACCTCACGGTCATGTGGTCAAAATCAACGACAAGGTTTAACCGCAAGTTCTGAGAAGCAGGTTCTACGTGCATTCTGTACGTGTCTACACTATCTCCACCCAATCAAGACGCAACAGCCCATTCTTAATCATAGAGCTTGGGAACAATCTATATCACGCATACTCTCATAACATAAATATTTATTTATCTCAATGAAAAAATTTGAATAATCACTTGGGATATGCCTACAGCGAATTCCGATGATATCGACGCTTCTTCAAGCAACAAATACGCGATCTACACAATTTCTGAATTTTGCGAAATTTAAGGAGTCCTTCCTGTCCCCGGGAATTTCACAGGAAAAGGGACTTACGACGCAAGTCAAAAATCAGCAAAGATTTGGAACTCTGCCTGTATCTTGCCGGGCAATCGAAGTAATGCCGTTTAACAAACTAGACATCACTAACAAAAAACGTTTCGATCTCGTTACAGCACAGATATGTTTCGCGGGGAATGTGTTGCCTTCACAAATAAGCGATGTCAACTATCCAGTAAACCCATACGTTGAACCAATAATACCATACTGGAAGTTTTGGCGCTACGGGCACACTAACAACGTTTGCTCAAAACAAAATGTTCTTCGTCTTTATTGCGACACCACCCATGAATTCTCGCAAGGATGCTCTCACAATAAAAAATATATCAACCGCTGCGGCGACTAAAAGTATGTTCAGCGTTTCTCCTCCGTAAACAGCCAGTCTTTCGAAACTTGCAGCTGTGTCTTTAACACAATCTTAGGCAACCTCCTTATCCCAAACTGCTACATAACATAATCTTAAAAGGAGTTGAATAAAAACGTAAACTCACGAAAAGACAATACATTGGCCCAAGCTTAATACACCATTGTATCACCAGTGAGGTAAGGTGTAATTAGAATCGAAATTAATGATAAGTAGTAAAGTGTATTGTTATTGTACCAATTAGACTAGGCATCTCTTTTTGCCATATACGTGAAACTAGGACGTTGATCCTGATGAATCTTCTATGAATCTGTTGTCACCATTGAGTTAACTTTAAATCCGACACTTTGCTACACTCTTTTGACAACGTTTGTCTGTCCGCCTGTCATTCAAACACATGGTAAGTAGCTTATATGGAGCTTGGTAGATGTTATTACTATGACTTTGGTGTTGGATGAATTAAATATTAAATTATTTCTGCCAGAGTAATGTGCGTACGAATAATCAAAATGAAATATCAAGCATACAAATGGCTGCCAACGATTCGCGCTAATGCTGCTATTGATAACAGAAACACAAAAAACGTCCCTAATAATCTGCTACGTTGATTTTTGAACAAAATGTTGGAGGTATTGACAAAATATTATTTTTGAAAAATTTTAAAGATGGCAACGTTGAAGTTATTATCGCGAGTCAAGTTTAGCATGAGGTACAGTGCATGCTTAACCAAAAAAATTAATCTATATGCGTATGGCTACGGAACTTGTGAAACAACATAACGGATGTTAAATATATTAATTATTGTGTCATTGGCGAGTATTTGAACAAAAAAATGCAATTTACAACCAAAAAAGAACGTATCTTCTCTTATTAAGAAATAAAAAACGTTTTATTTTGAAAAGTGTTTTCAGAAAAAAGCGTTTTAATCACTCTTGACTGTTTAGTGAATCTTTTAGGCCAATAAATGATATGTCATTTTTTTACATATTTGAAGAGATGCGGTTTCCTAAATTATCTCATTTCAATTTCGTTACATTAACAAATTCCTTTTAAAATAAATAGCTTCTTTAAATATATGAAATTTGCAATTTTTCAGGATTTCTATTAATAGTTGAAATAATCAATTGAATACGTGTCCGTAACACGTTTAAATACAACTTCACACAGCATGAAACAGAACCGTTTAAAAAAACAAAATTAAAAAAGAAAAAATAGGTGGATATTCAAAGCTTTTTTTAATGTTTATTATACTTTTATATTTACATACCTACATGCACTTATTTACATAATACAATTTAATTCCAATCTTATTTTTTAAAAGTATTGTGAATTAAGAAGAAATGCTTTAAATTGAGATTTTTCATTGACCTGTACATAAATGAAAATCATTTTTGCTTAAGAGAATAGTGGATTAAGGAATTAGCGTTCAATAATTTCCAAAGAGAATAGTGACTATCTAGATGGACGAGAAATGGTCACGAAAGAGTTCTTATTGTTTTTACTCTGGTGATAAGAATTAGTCCAGTACGTCTCATATTCATTACGGTACCTGGTTTCATACGCTTTTATTTGCGTATCTTATTCACATAAAATTAAAGTAACCTTTATTCACTAAAAATTCCCCGAAAAATAATTCCATTTCATTCGTAATCGATTCTCGTAGGGATAGGTCATTTATTGGTGAGATGGAGTAATTAGATGTTTTCAAATATATCAAGGGAAATCGTAGTGAAACCATAAAAAATCTCTTTATTGGTTGCATCAAGGTGAGGTAATGATTCTTTGTTAAGAAGAATGGTCACCTCCCTGGATCCTTTTTTGACTTTTCCGACCTTAGCTATTTCCCAACTGATAGTAGGTAATTGCGGATTACACACTTTTATAAGATTAAGAATCTTTTGAGGTTCATGCGGCTCAGCGGGAATCAACGTATGGGAACGGAGTGTGTTAATTAATTTCTTTAAGGGTACAGCTTCCAACTTTGCGTTGGGCCATACCTCTCCTAAAGAGTCAATGGCCTGCTTGAAAAGATCTGCTGATCTTTGGTCAGCACATGCAGTAAGCGGTAGACGTCCTCGATACCAGCCAGCGGTGCGGCATTTTGGAGGGGCACCGGGATTTTTCGCGAGAATGTCGAAGTACGCTTTATTGAGAGCACATTCCACTTTCCACCAATTTACACGGACTGAATCCTCTTCACAGTCGGAGCAGTCAACTACAGCGAGAGTCGGATGATCTTCAACAGTCTGATTAGGAGAGGGATCATTTCCCGCTTCTTCACGCGCTGTCTTTAGCGGTTCATTGGAAAGAATTGAATCAATATACTCTTTTTCAAATACTAATACAAAGCCCTGAAGAATAGTGGTTTCAGTTTTATTTTTGTGGGCGAGTAGAATGTTTTCTATCGTCTCATTTAAGTCAGTAAATTTGCTATTGTTGCCTTCATCAAATACGCTAAGCTTGGTGCTTAAATCAAAGCCTAAAACAGCGTTTACATCAGGCAGAATTTCGATAAGACGACGTGCTAATGGTTGCTGTGAATAGCTGATGTAATTAAATCGCTTGTTACGGGCATCATAGAACTTGAAAAAAATCAGTACTTCTTTTTTGCTATCAAAAGACGGCAGTGCACGTCCAGGTTTGTCTGGGGGAGCCAATTCCAGAAATATTACCCACGGTTTCTGAGGATTAGGAATTTGTCCGACGGTACGATGTCTCTCCCGTTGAAAGTCAAAGTAAAAGAACTTTTGTGCTTTGGCCGCGTACATTATCCAAACGCGCATACGTTCTTTGGGCACGCAAAAAGATTTGACAAATTGGTTCATCATTTCTTCAATGGATTGTGTCTGCTTAAATTTAAACAAGCGCTGACGAGTCTTATGCAAATCGAAGAGGCAGCATTTTTCTTGCAACTCAAAGTCCTCTTCAAGAATAATGTGAACGGACACGTATAAATGAAGCTCGCTCCATACTTTACGGTGAGCCGTTTCAATTTGTTTCTCTAAATCGAGACGCTCGATCAGATCCCTTGGTATTTCATGGTCAGATATATCACTCAAGATTCGATTTATCTCTGATTTACGTACATAAACTAACATGCAGGCATTCTTACGATCGGCCTGGACCGATATCTCATCATCTATACCACCATAATTTAATTCTATTGCCTCAAGTTTTTTGCAGCTGCAGACCACATCGTCATCAAATTTATACCACTTACCATCACATTTGGGATTGATAAAGACCACATAATGACCACCGTGATTGTCATCAGAATGAGCAAGTACAGCGTGTAAAGCGTACGTGGCTTTGGTATTATCTTCCTTCTCCATGAATTGATCAAGATTGATTTGCTCATAGAATTGAAAACGGTCGTTATATTTGATGGATCTATTAGTCACCGGGTCGTATTGAAAACGCATTAAATGCAAATGCAACACTGACGGGAATGAAATAAAATTTACGCATTTATTTGCTTCCTGCGGAAAACAAGTTGAGTACAAACGATATCAAATTTAATTCCGTTACTTTAATATGATCCCATAAATGAAGAGTTTAAATAGATACGCAACCTTACCTGCAAACCGTAATAACCAGAATCGTATTTATTATCACCATGTAGATTTATGGGTGCGATGTAATCTTGAAATGATTCCATAATATCCTTTTTACCCTTGACGTTTAGTTGTATATCATAAAAAGTTTCGTAACGCGTGCTACTGTAATCAACATTTTTGCATTTTGTATATGAAAACATTTTCCCTTTAAATAGAGCTGTAACTGTGCCTTCCAAATTAGTTCCTTTTATTTTAGATTCAAGCTCGTCGAACAGAGTACGCGAAAACTTCTGCACATCATATTGCGTAAAGAAATGAAGCATTTTCAAGCCAAACGATTCAGTTAATTTTTCAGTACCAACCGAATTATCGCTAAACTGAAGTTCATAAAAGATGTATTGAAGAGCAAGTCCTACCGAATCGGTGGCATTATCTGCTTCGGTCGGGATTTTATAGACAATTCTGCGCAGTTCGTTAATAAAATAAATACTTTGTAAGAAAGAGTTCATACAACAAATAGACCCTTGCCCTTTTAGGCCCACATAATCTGTTCGTTGCTTTGAATTCCACTGCACACCACGTGGTTCATCGGCTCGTACATATACTTCCAATGTAATAGCTCCATTGCAAAGGAAATAGTTTCCCGGATTTTGCAATTCTCGCCACGAGATATAATTGCAATAACCATAATCATTTTCCTCAGAACAGAATAGATGCTTAATAGGTATACGAATGAAGGGTTTAGTCCCTGCTTTATGGCTTTTTATACGTAACTCTGCAATGGCATTACAATACCACGTGGGCGAATCATCATCGCCATTACACTCCAGGAAAAAGCCTAAGGTACGTTCTTTTGGGATAACCTTAATCTTCCAAGGCAGCATACGTACGAAAAAGGGTGGCGATAATTGTTGTCGTTTCAATTGAACAATATTCTCCACGGTATAAGAGAATGTTGCCTCTGAACGAAAAGGATCTGCACCATCGTCTGCCATTTCTTGTCCCTGACATATATTATCTATACATGAATTTGCGAGGTTTGATGGTACCGCAGTCAAAAGCAGTGCTTACGACGACTCAAATCGTTCAATATAATACATAAATATATATATATATATTATATAAATTATAATATAAACCATACGTATGTATGTGTATATATATAAATATAATATATATATATGTATGTAATTTTTATGTTTTAAGAGAAAAAAGGGATTTTGATATATTTTATGTATAAAGCACTTTTCTATTCCGTCACAAAAATGATCTAGAATTCTTTGCGTACAACTTTTTCAAACAAAAAATTTATTTGGCGGCATCTTCAACAGTATTGCCATGCTCAAAGATTTGTTGCAAGAGCCATTCTTAAGAATTCGGCTAACTTTCATCAAATATATATAAAAGAGTTGCCAAGTCTTAATGGAAATAAACTTTTCTTTTCCTGGATCAAGGTAACTTATTCTGACGACGGTGTCTACGTTTCGCTGGAGGCCTTCCAATTGAACGGAATAAGTGAAGCAATATAAACCGGCATATCTTCTGCACTTTCAAATTTAACTGTATCGGAATAAAAGATATAAGGAATCAAATCCAGTTTAAAATGTTTTGCGAAAATTAAAAAGTTAGTTTTTATTTATATATTAAAAAAATTACGATTGATTTGAAATTCATTTTAAAATATACATTCTTTATAGGTAAATTCATATGTTAACGTATTAATAAATTATATAAAATAAAAATAAAATAATACATATGAATTTCGAAAGTTCAATTTCACAATTAAAAGTTTTCCTAAGAAATGAGTATACGTACGTTTGCTTGATTTTATCATTGCAAACGAACAAACGCCAAACTTGCCTCTTATTCACTCATTGTTTTTTTGAAATTAATTTCGAATGACGAACGCCATATGTATATTACAACCAAACGGCTTTGCAATTACGTCTTTCCAATGAGAGCTAGTTAACTAAAAAATACATAAATGAAGCCCTGATGTTCTAAAATGTATGTATGTGTGCTTCTGCTCACTACTTTTAATTTATTTAAACGAAGACTCAAAAACCCTAAAAATCTGGAAAAATGAGTTGTGTTGACACACTAACCGTAAGCAACACAAAGCGTCGAAATGACTCTTTGCTTAGTTGTTGAACGGGTTTTGACTGGATTGGCCGTTGCCGACTTTATTTTGTTAAATCAAAAGTTATTATAAAAAAAAAAAAAAAATAGCAGTGTTCCATATATGTGAGTATTCCCCATTCAGATCCAAGCAAAATTAAAAAAATAGAAAAAAAAAATTTGAAGTCACAAAGACTACGAAAAAAATTAGTAAATGAAATATGGATAAACATGGAATAATTAGAAATACTTGTAACAGCGTGGAAAAAATTGTAACTAAATAAAAAGGATTCTACGCAATTTTGCGTGTGTTAATTTGGCTTTTTTATTTTGTACATTAAAACGTAACATTTTAATTTTTTTTTTACCCGTTTTCGTATTGACACCCTATATATATTTAGGGATACAAACAAATTTTTGCTAATTGAAGGTGTGTTGAAACTATATTATGTTATTAAAATCTACAATAACTTGTTAGCTGTTAATTTACAGAAAGAACATAATACTTCTGCTACTTTACAGAAAGAACGTAATACTTTTGCTAATTTGCAAAGCCGTCGGCAAAAGTCCCCCAATACCAATATTGCAATTAAATTAATTTAGAAAACTTCTTTGTCTTCTCCCTAGATAATATGGTTACCCGTCAATTATGTATTGATAAGGCACATGGCAACAATTTATCATGACAATGTGGATACGTTTAATCAGTTAAGTGCATATTTTGCTACAGAATTTTAAAATAAACTTAAATGTTATGAAGAAAAAGTAATATGCGGCATTTCATGCTGTTGATAATTGGGACAATGGTATTCACCATTAACAGGATATTGGCCAGCAACCATTATGTTATAAAAGAAGATGGCTTTATCAAACGTCGTTTAGATTCGCCATTTCACCTTCGGCAACCGGAAAACCTTCTCAAATTTTTAAATCAAATGCACTGTAACGACCAGGCAGAGGAAGGCTTTAAAAAAATGCAAAGGCGACGTAATCGGTTAGATGATCATATATTAATAACAGCTCAATTAATGCAGCAAATTATAGAGAAATCGAAATGCGCCCGAATATATGTCAAACTAAAAGGCGCAGGTGATTACTTGCGCACAACTGGGGCATCATTGAAACGTCTCCGTTTTCCCGAGAAAATGGAAAAGGACGAAAAAAATGGCGAGCCGGTGTGTAAAAATTATATAGATGTGACAACCGCAGACTATGTGTATAACAAATTAAGAAGTTTCACCTCTGAAGTTGTGCAATCCATGAAAATTGAACGTGAGGAACATTTATTACAGGAAGAATTTGGTTTGAAAGATGCAGAAAGTGTTACTGAAACAATGCGTAACATAGCCGTAAAGGGACTATTAAATAATCCGCAATCATGGAAATTTCACATGTTGGGTTCTTATTATTGGCGTTTGGTAGGCAATGTTAAAAACGCGTTGGAGTGTGCTCATTTATCAGTTTTATTAGCACCAGAGGAAAGCAGGGATATACCGCTCTTAAGTTTGGGTACAATATTGGTAAGAGCTAAGATGTGGGACGATGCTGAAATTATATTGAATGCTGCTGTTAATAATGGCTCAGAGCATTCTGAAAATTATGTAGCGTTAGCTACACTATTTGCTTTAAAGCATAATTTTAAGCGAGCCAGAGAATACTTCAAAATTGTAGAAAAACTGAATACAGTTATGTATAGCAGTACATATACTATGCGTCAATATATTGATTGTTTGGAACCACTAGATAATGAAGCTAGCAAGCTATTTGGGTAAGTGTAAAACAAATGTAATGTAAGTAATTATCGATTCGCCGTTATTACCTTTTTACTTCTTTAGTTATGTTAAATATATGATGCGCGAAATAAAAGACGTCAATAAATTGCGTCAGGATGTTAGTGTATATCAAAATAAAATTATACAACAACAGGTATATAAGTATGTTGAAAAAAAGGTGGAAAATAATTAAATGAGACTCTCTTTACAGGTTCCGTTAGCTTCACGGTATAACAACAACGATGCTCAACTAAAAACCAACCTTTTAAGCCGTTACCAATACTGTAGTACGCGGCAAGCAAGTGACACTCAAGCATCAACAGTATTTTGTGATTTTTATTCGGACTTGCAAATGCAATTGGAAAGCAAACAATTCGATGCAGAATTACTAGAATGGCAAGTGAATCATTATAAAAATCGTCTATTTGAACGTATGCCCAAGGAATACAAAAATCAATTAGAATTTCTATATAATACCGCTAAACCAATTCTACCTATTCGAAAGAATACATAGCCTGTATAATTAATGCTTTAAACTAAACATTCCAATTATGAAAGGGTAGTAAGTAAGCGAACTTTAAGAATAATGCTACCCCGTGAGTAACGAAATTATGCGTAACTTTCTCGAATTTATTTACAAAAAACTAACCAATTTAATTATTTTAAAAGCAAAACGCCGGTACAGCAGCTTTCGTTAGGAAAATTTTCTTTTAGAAGACTTTTTTCTCCGTACTTCTAGATATTTGAGTATGAAATACAAAACCAGTATAGAGTTTTTTTTTTGATTTAAAAAAATGGCGTCGATTTTTGTTAAAAATTTTTTATGTATGAAAAAAATCCGCTGCAACACAGTCATAGAATTACTTACAATCAACAAATACTTCGTATGAATGCTTGAAATCAACAAGTTTACAATAAAAGTACGACAAAATCAAAGTGCATAGTTTTAAGAAGAGCGGAATCAAAGTTTTAAACGGCGAGATGTTGTAACTAAATTCAAATTTTGAGTCACACAAAAAATTCGCCGAACATAAAATCAAAAAGCCGTTTGGATATCATTTACGATATGATACAAAAATATATGTAAGGTAGCATTATTCGTAAAGGCGCCTGAAGAAAAACTTTAGATGATCACCACCCTTAGGTAGTTACGTAAAAAGCGCATTTATCCTTTTGCTATTTGAGAATTAAGTGAAGATTTTATTTTGCATAAAACTTGATATTTGTTTAAGCTATATTTCAAATTCTTCTCTGTTGCAAATCTTGCAAATGAAAGGTTTCTTTTTTTTTGTAATGTCAGTGCCAAGACGAGAAAGAAAAGTGATTTCATATAAAAAACTGTCAAGTAAAATGCAATGAATATATTTTGTTTACACTATCTATAAATCAGTTATAAGTATTTTAGTATACCTGTTTCATATCAAGTGACTTGCTATTGGGGAGGCTGTCAGTAAGAACACATGACAGGGCAATTTACATCACAAAATTACTACAAGATTTTCTACTAATTTCTGATGATAATTGCTTTTACTATTTTCTTAACTTTTTCGACATTTTCCGCGATTTTAACAGTGCAAGCAAAACTGTCTATTATTTTATTGATTCATTGCATTGCACAATAGATAGATTAAATTCTGACAATTCCTTGCGATAGTTACAAATGTAAAAAATAAATAAGATAGTCTAATAACGAAAAGATTATTCTATCTATAGAGACTAATCACTCAAGGACAATTACATTAACACCTAGAACAGAAATCTTACATTCAACGAAATTAAGTTGCAAGGCAGACTCAGTAATTTTAAATAAAGGACTACCAAAAAGTCTATTCTTAGCAAAGCACATATGTTCCAAACAGAGGCACTAGTCATATTAAAATATCAAGTATGAGGTTAAACTATAGAAGAGCTGGAGGCACAAACAACATCTTTTGAAAACTACGAAATATTCTAAAATATCAACAATGAAGATTACACTGACAAATGACTTGATGAACCTCTTCATTCAATAAGCATCACCCAACAAGACGAGTACGCTAATAAATCAATGTATCCATCGAATTTCGAGCCATTTTTCACTAAGAAGTAAAAAAGTTGAAAGTTTATTTTCGATATATATGTAAATTTGATTAGTATTTTCTGTAGGACTAGGACACGCTGTGAACTTGGGAAGTCGAAACCTGCTACTACTTATTAAGAATTATAAGATTCAATCCACAATGGCAGATTGCGGGGTTTTCCTTCCTAAGCGTATTTACTATGTACTCCGGAAGAATAATTGCAAAAGTTTTAAATTTTTATTTCCGATACCTTTTGCATATGTATAGTGTACGGCACTTTATTTATGATGCATTTTTCTAAATTTTCGTGGTATAATTTGTTTATATAAGTGCATCTGGCTGAGTGGCGAAGTAGGCAAACGATCTTGACTAACCACCCAATCAATGCGAATTCAAATCTCAAATGCAGTACAGTTTTCAACAAAGCCGATAGTCTTCGATGCTAGTGCTATTAGACTTTAGTTTTCGGATTTCTTTGGCTAATTAATAATAATAGTAATAATATTTATATAAGTACGTTGGCAGTACATTTTATAACATAATGACTCGGTAACACTGAATAACTCGATCAATTATTCAGTGCCGAAGAAAAGAAATTCGACATAATTACATGATTATTCATTACATTAAGGATTGTAAAATTTCCTGATTGCTATTCTGAATCTACAGACAATAACAACAGCCTTCATATCAGACGGTAATGTGTTCTATAACTTTACAAAGTTTATAAAAAAAATCGCCTTGATGATCTCAAATACTTATGGTTTGGAAGAATTAAATCGATATATCGTGGGGAAACAGGCGGAACTCGTCTGCCAATTGAAGATATGATCGCCTTTTTGTAGCAGTCAGGAAAAGTACAGCATGTGATGCTATGCTTCAATGCATGAGTCAATGAGGGGACAACGGCAGGCAGAATCATTTTTAAAAACGTAATGCTGATGTCATAACCAACAGTTTTACATTTAATACTATACACCGCTTTCCAAACTTCGTTTATAGTAAAGGCCGTAGACTGAAAAGCATCACCTTGTCCATATAGTGAGTCGTGAACCTCAGCCACGCAATTAGCTTTCAAAAAAGTTATATATTGAGGGCTAAGAATAGAGGGTCGTGGTTACCTCTCGACATAGATATAGTTCTGTGACTTAAATCCTGATTAATGTAAAAGGCGATACATCCGCGTTTCGCTTCGCAAGTTTTGCTATGACGGACAGTATTGTATCGCCTGATTTGCCCGAACTCATTGTCAACATGAGATCTGAGCCACGTTTTAGTTATGCACACCACGTTAATTCGTAACTCGGATAATACGTAATTAAAGCAGTCCACCTTAGATTGGTTAAATCTCCGTGCATTGAACTGACACAATTGAAAACTCTTATGCATTCCACTGCTACATCCATATAAACATCGCAGGCATGTAGCTTACGACTAGCCATTAATATCCAACCTTTTTCTTGACTAATCTGAACTTATTAATATACGCTGGACACGATTTACTCAACGTCGAATGATCTACCTGCAGACCAAATCCAAACTTCTCATTGAACCTCGTACATTTTATGCATTTAACAATAGGGTCTTTGTCACATTCATTTGCCCTATGGTTTCCATGACATTTGAAGCATATAATATCATTTTTACATTCCTTCGGGTTGTGGTTAAATCTCCCACATTTAAAACATATCATCGCTCAGCTCCATCGTAACCTCTGCACCTTTCCCAAACGACGTATAATCTGCCATCCGCAGTTATCGCAGAGAATGATGTGCCGTCCGTTTCTACGACGCAGTATAGCGAAGCCTGGCTTTTTGATTAGTACACTCTATTTCAAGATGGGATTTTGCCACCGAAGTTTTGCAATCAACTCGTCATTATCATACTCGAAGCTCACATCAGTTATCTTTAATCTGGGGTTTAACTTGGTTGGTATATGCACAATATAGTACACTCTCCTTAGTACACTCTCGTTCAAGATGGGATTTTGCCACCGAAGTTTTGCAATCAACTCGTCATTATCATACTCACATTCCATCATGAGCCAATATCACCAATTACGTAAAAATGTCTTGTCATATTTATAATTATGCTCCAATTTGTTTACCGACTAGCAAGCGTGGAAATGCTTCGCTGTTGCTAGATGTGTTTACTTCGGTCGCTTTATTACAAAATATGCCTCAATTCACACCTGATTTGCTTCATTTAGCGCTTCGTGCTGATTATTAAAAAAACCCTTTCGTAAATTAATTTAATACATGCAAAAATGAAAAAAGGGATTTGACGGAAAGGTTTTTCCCCTTTTGCCTATTTTTACTTTTGAACATATGTCACGGATGCCTGCGGGTAATGGTGGTAATTGATCAACAGCACCGTGGAAGCCTTATGGCGGAAGCAAGCGTTGATCAATTTGTGAGTCCTGACTGCTTGGGTGCGGCCCTTCGGGGAGAACTGGTGATAGTTGTGGTTGGCGAGTTCCTAGCTAAAATGGAACAATTTGAGTGCAGCTAGGCCTCACCATTGACCAGATTTATTGTTCCATACACAATAAACCGTTCTGGACTCTGGTGCTGTTTAGGCCCCTACTCTGTGGGGATTGTCTAACTCGCCAGGGGGCGAAGTACGCTTAAAGTGGCTTGGGCCACCGTGGGGTTAAGCCTTTCAGGCAGGAACCCACGTTAAACCCTTGCCACACAATTTTGTTGTGATGATGTATTAATCACATTACTGAGACATATGTAATATATTTTGTTCATTTCGTTGCGCTATTCCTTTCTCCGTTTAATTTTGTCTTTCTTCTCGTTTTCTTTTGGCTACATTTTGTGTGACGACGAATGTTTAGTCGTTTCGTTGGCATTCTCAACAACAGCAGAATACAATTCCAACGGCAATCTTGGAACAACAGAGTTGAATACTCAGTAATGTTGAGGTTAGTAGTCCTAATAAAAGCAATCTTGACAACGCTGGACGTCTGTGGTCTGTGATAATGTTTCGTTAGTTGCACGCTTAAGTATTATGAGAAGGTTGTAACGTATCGTACAAATATTTCGGATTTTGGATATCATTTACTTTATGGCACCTATTGTCTTGGGCTTTAATTATAATTTGTAATTTTTTATGAGTGATAATATTACATAGGCAAAAATCATCTAAAAAAATTCTATGCTCATATTGCCATGGCGCACACCATTAGACCTTACAGACAGAATACAGCGCATCGGAGATCCTCTAAGATGAACGCTCTACATTGAGCGTTGTCGTCCTGCTTATACATTATGTCACCATTGAAGTAAAGCATACGATTACCTACAATACTGTTGAACTCCAGGAAATGTTCGTTTAATGTGTTAGGATTAACACTACATACAGGTTGACTTTTATTTATGCCAAGTTCTTGCCCATTTTTCGAAGCAATTTTGGATGGAAGTCGGGTGTCAAGTCTCGCATTAAAATAGAGTCGCTGCCTAGTACGAGCTATTCTGTGCGCTTCGTTTCTGCGGAAGGCTTCCCAGTTAGTTTAATTCGGCCTACACTTCTCGATTTTATAAGTCCCATCATGGACTCTAACCGCTCTTATTAAATGAATTGCGGTGGTTTGGTCCTTTTATCAAAATAGGTCTTAATTGGTTTGTCATAAGATTTAAGCAGATTGGAAGATAAGTAAGTTAGCTTGAGCAAGCTTACAGATCCTAAATGTCTACAACTAAGAGATATCAATTATATATTAAATACTATCAACGATATTTCATGATCGAATATACTTTGAGGCCGCCGTGAGCTTCTCTGCGGATCTTCCTGTCTTTGGCAATATGGCTGAAATCTCTACACATGGTAAACTCTACATCTTTCGTAGTCTACGCAAAGTCTCGTCACAACAAGTATTTTAGTAAAAGATTCAGTGCCTGTCTGAGCAATGGTGCTATACTACATTTTCTTGTCCTTATTAATCCTTTAGCCCTTACAATTTTTATCAAACTAACCTTCAGAATGGGATTCTGGTTCCGCAATTTATTAACGATCGCTACTGTCCGGGCGTTTGTCCTGCATGGTCTTTCGGCATAGATTTCGATCTGCTTTTCCTTCGCAGCCTATCACTAATATTTTATTCTCCTTGCAACGCACACTTAATACCGTCAGTATTTTGGGACTAACGTGTTCATAGTCAAGTCAAATTGGGATTTACTACCGCTTCCTTGATTAGCTCGCGATTTTTACAATTAAAGTCAAATACGATTTGATTACTGGCACCACCTTAGCTGTAGCAGCTTCAAAAAAAGGGTGATGGGTGATTCCACTTTATTTTTGATTTTCTCAACTTACTTCCGAGTTATTTATTCTTCCCAATGCTTTACTTTCACGTTACCTACAACTATCATTATCATGGGTTAGTAGCATCTTTAATATTTGCTTTAATATTTTAACCTTTACCTCTTGTTGCAAAGTCCATGTTAACCGACAAAAATTTTTCTGTTAATTCCTTGTGTGAATATATCAAATACATTTGTAAGCAAATAAAATTAATAAATATATAAATAATAAGTAAATTAGATAAAGATAAGTTATTTCTACAATGTAATTCTATTTTTTAGTAATAAAAAATTTCTTCATATTTCTGAAAATGGACACTTTCGCTGAGGTAAATTGAAGCAATTGGCAAACATAAAGTTTAGAATTTTTCAATGTGAAATAAACGTTGAGAAGAAAACAATTTATATTTGCCGCATACGGTTTTATTCAAGAAGCACTTGCATTGCAAATCATAACCTGCCAAGAATTCAATTAGATTTCAGATCTGTTAAGCGTTTAGTTCTAATAAAATTGTGTTTTAATTCATTTTGTACATTTAATATTATCCGGCGAACTTACATCGTGAATCATGTCTGGTTCGAAATTCATTGAGAATCACTTAATGAAAGGTGAACGAATGTGGCTCATTAAGTCGCGAACCTAAGTCTGGGTTAGGGTATAACTCGACCCAATAAATATTGTCTTCTCAGCTTATAATAAGAAAATTACAATCTCTTATTATTTCTTGAACCTCTGAAAACTTTTACGCAACATTATGAACTTTTCGACATCGATTAGTTGGTATAGTATTTGTAACAATAATCAAATAATCTCTTAAATATGCACGATTGATATCAAAGCAAACATTGTTTGCTTCTTTGGGCCAATCGCTCTAACTTTGGTTCTTTTTGTAAACTCAGTCTTAGCTGAAAAACTTTCGGCTCACTTTGTGACATCAATTGGTAGGAAGTTATTTTGGCTCCGGCTAGCTCATAATTCAAAAAAAAAAAAAAATTACACATACCGTACGCATACAGTTTAATCTGCAGCCATTGCTTCCAACACGCAATTCCTAATATTCTATGCTTTCATCTTTTTCTTTATTTTGCTTGCATGGCATTAATCACGATAAAAAGTATTTATGACTTCATTTTATGACAGGTGTCAACGGCATAGCTCGTTCGCGGTAGAGCGTTACTAAATTTATGACTTCCCGGGCTATACGACAAAAAAAAAAAAAAATCAATATAAAAGTAAAGAAAAAATTATAAAGTTTATACGGTGCGACTTGGCGCACGAATTAAGACCATCTGTGATGCCCGCTGTTGTTTGTACTGTTCGCTTTTCGCTGGTCCATTCCGAGTCCTTTAGCCCGTATTCCCACCCACCCATACTCCGCTTCAGCAGTAGGGTATCCCGCTTAGTCAAGCATTATTTATTTTTTTCTTCTTCTTTTGCTTCTTTTTATTATACATGCAAATAAAAAAAAATGAAAATAGAAAAACTACAAATTGATTCCTTGCTGATGATGATGTAGTACGATGATAGTAACTCCTGCACTGGCTGCCCGCAGATGTTCTTCACATGTTATCATTTACGCAGTACTATGCACCGTTTTATTAATACTTTTATTATTTCTAGCCATACAGTTGAAACACTTCTGCAAGATTATCACACAACTCGCTCTTCACAGCACAAACCTTTCGGCGACACAACACTGACTCACTCTCCCCGCACAAATCCAAATTGTCCTGTTGTCCAAAGCATTAAAAGAAAAAATATCTACTCAAATCACGCAGACGGACTTTGCACTTTTCCTCTTTTTATAGTTCTCTCTTGCATAATAGCGTCATTTAGCAAAAGAGACCGTTATGAATACAGGTTTTGGCACAGCGGTAGGCTGTTATTACGGTCTTACTTACTCTATTGTGGTAGAGCAGCGGTCAAATCAGACCGACGGAACCCTTACACTACAAATATACGCGGACGTTACACAGGATAATGTTCCTCCACTGTCCTGCTTTATAACGCCACTCTCTTCGCGGTTTCCCCCGCTTCTTCTATTATATATTCGTTTTTTACTGGAAATATATTTGTTCACGATTGACGGAGGATGATTCCATCTTCTTTCAATATGAATATACGGGAAGAAGTAATATTAATAGAGCAGACAGACAGACCCCATTCACACTATATCCGCGGACGTCACAACTCTCTGTAGATAAGTGATTATTGGTAAATGGTAATATCGCAAACCATATCCTATCAATGGTTCACTGAAAATTAAATTTGCCAAAAAGGCAAGGGGTAGTGAAAGGCAAACGAGTGTGACTCATAAAGGTTAACAACAGCGATTTAACATTGTCTTCATTAATCATGATTAGTCTGTTCTCCGGAGTAATTGAAATGTGGTTTCAGGTGTAGGAAAACAAGTAGGCGTTGGTTTTATTTTTTTTGGTATGTCAAGTTTTCTTTTTTGTTGGGAACGTTTTTTTGATTATTCAATTTTTGGGTTTTGTTCAGTTCAGTAAAAATAAATAAAATGAAAAAAAAATTAAATTTAAAAATTTTTAAAAAAATGTGTATAACAATATAAAGAAAGACTTTTTTTAAGTTGGAGTAAAAACTGTGATAATTTGATTTACGAAATTTTTTTGAAACAAAATTTTCGATAAATTGTAAAATTTTTTTAAATTCGCGTAAATTGAAAAAAGGAAAAAAGAAAAGTATTTTGGAAGACTACTGCAAAAATTTTTAACTTAACCCAGCAAGACTGCTATCGCAACTATTTGGTTTTGAGTTTGTTTTTTTTTAATCATCTTCACTAAAAGAATCCAACGCCATTGAATATAAGTTTGCCATCAAATTAAAACACTACGTCAATTATCAATAATGGAAAAGACGGAAAAGAGAGCCAAAATCACTCTACCGAACGATAAATCTTCAAAAACCACAATCGCTGACAAAACTGTAAAGATTGCCGGAGGTGACAAACTAACGCCTAAAGGCAAATCTGCTGCAAAGTTGGCGAAAACGGGAGCTGGTAAAGGAAAATCTCCGGGAGGAGAAGGAGCTGGTGATGCTGATGACCTTGATGCCTGGATTAAGTCGCGTCAACTACTTAAACCGGACGATCAACTAGAGCTGACAGAAGCTGAACTTGGCGAACAAATAACCAAAGCTCTAACGCCCACCAATACTAATGTGGTTCTCAATTTTGTAGTGTACAGTTTCAAGGAGGGCACTTTTGTTAAGATTCCACCCGCTGGTAATACGGTCACAATATTTCAATAGGCTGGCGAAGTAAGTGAACACCTAACACACTCACATTCACTACACAATCACTTACACCTTAAAAATTTATAAAGATTCTATAGGGTAAAATCACTTTCATGAACCCCCCAATTTCGGCGAGCTAGTCAGATAACGTTAAGAGCCCTTTGAGCTGCTTTGCATGCTACACAGCTAGGATTGTTATGCTAGGAAGATGGGTCGCCGAATTTTTTCGGCGATTTAACATTGTCTTCATTAATCATGATTAGTCTGTTCTCCGAAGTAATTGAAATGTGGTTTCAGGTAGGATTGTTATGCAAGGAAGATGGGTCGCCGAGTTTTTTTATTTATTTAAAGAGAAATTTTAAATCGCTAAGTAATATTTGTATTATTATATCTTGCTTAACCTGCTCAACACCGATGCTATAAGACATCCTATTGCGATACTAATAGATCTTTACTACTAATAGATCGCAAGTCAAGTGTGAAGAAGAAAATAAAAGAGCGATTGATTCGCTTGGTTTTGTCATTAAACAGAATGATTATTTTTATCGAATTTTTATTCATTTTTATATTAAAATTATTTCATATCCTAGCAGCGTACAATAAACAGATGTAAGGGAACAATCCAAAAGGGATGTTGTGCTAACACATACTTAAAAATGTGTTGCTTGCTGCAGCACGATCACAACTATGTCTAGTGTATTTAGACGGTTTAATAGCATTTTGTGACTTTTCCAGATCATTCACTCTATTGTTGTTTTTTTGTCTATTTGTTCGACGATTTCCTGGCATTTATTCACTTCTTATTTCATGTTTTTCATTTTACCAGTAAAGCCCTCATGAATTTTAGACACATGGTCGCTGAACTTTACCTCTGTTTCATGAATTGCCACTTGCAGTCGAGCAGCGCTGGCTATCACTGGCAGCTGTTTTTGGCGGCACTTTGATTAGTATTTCGAGCACGATTTGTTGCCTATTTATCACTACAGATTTATTAGGCGCACTTTTTACTATTTTAAATTAAATAAAATAGTTATTACTAAACAACATGCGGAGCCGCCATAGCGCTCCATTGTTTGCGTTTTTTACTGTTATCACTATCGTTGTTGAGCGTAATATAATTCCTTTGTTCGTTTCTTTCTTTGACATCTTTCTTTCCCTCTTTTTTGTTCTTTTCTTTTCCAATGGATAAGTTTATCCACTTAATTTATTTAAAATTTCTTCTATGCGTTAAATTTTATTAATATACTTTTAACAAATTCTTTTAAATTTTATCGACGCCAACAAATTTTACATGCACTTTGCTAGAGTTGCCAAATGTTCCCTCATATAAGCATTGAGAAACGGTAAGATTATTCAGATTAGCTAAATGAGATCCATTGTTAAACTGGATTTATGACAATCTATACTTTTACTCGACGTATAATGAGATTTCAGATAACATATGATACCGTCAAGTAAATCTTTCTTCTTAATAAAGGATATTTCTTTAAACGTGCCAAATTAGGTAAGCTTAATCTATCTAATATATATGAGGGAATGGATTTATAACATAAATTGATAATATAATCACGTTAACTTATAGTCTTTGAACAACTGTGATCAGAGCGATCTATAGAAAAACCTAATGACGCTGAATAAAAAGTTATTCTACGTTTGCAAGTATGTTTTCAATACCTCGCAGTGAACTTCTCTTTATTAATAATGGGTATTAATGTAATTCACACTTTGCAAAAATTATAGAAGCATTATTGAGCCCAATTGCACCGAACAAAATTGATTATTCGAGGTGTGGACTTGAAGTTACACTCGAGTAGTAATAGGTAATAGGTAATCACTAAAATTAAAATCAATTTCAACTATACCTGGTGCAATGAAACTAGACATGTAAACGTATATGCGTTCATTCCAAGTTGATGAGAATGTCACGTTGGTCAATACACTGTTTATAGGTG